GCCTCAGATACATCAAATTCTAAGCATTCTACTCTGAGTGTAGTCTCTGCTCCTTACAGATTACTTGCTCGAGGCCTTCCACTGAATCAGTCTAGGACCACAGTGAGACCATTTTCTCACTGTGTTCTTCTGTCTTCGTGTCTCTTTAGTCCAGCTTAAATTTCATGAACTGTCATTATATTAACTCTCTAAAATATCCTCAACTCTTTCTGACTTTTACCTATAAAAACCCCAAATCTGGGTGGGCCCTACCTCCCACCCTGGTCTTGTACTGAAGTAAATCATGTTATGGTGCAGAAATAGTTTGCAGTTTGTGGCCACAAACCCTAGGTGGACTCTCAACAGTGCCCAGCAGGATACTGAGTTTCTTGGGCTTTCATTCTCCAGATTCTCCGTGCCTTCTTTCCTCTCACCTCTCAACTTCTTTCCTACTCAGCTGATTATCTCACACCAAAGTAAGCTGAGAAAGCAAGTCTTCAGACTATGGTGTGAAGTCCAGTTTATCTCTTTTGTGCTTTATGTGGGTTTTTGTTGTTGTTGTTATTGATTTTTTGCCTCGAAACTGTATCCTGATTCAGGGCCATGAAGATTTACTCGTATGCTTTATTTTAGTAATTGTGTAGTTTTAGCAAATGTGTTTCTGCTGTGTAGACATCCAAATGAGTTTCTTTGCAGTGTCTTGGTACCATTTGTTGAAGATTTCTTTTTCCACTGAATCTATAGGCCATAAATGTAAGGCTTTATTTCTGGACTTGCACTTCTATTTCATTGATCTCCATTGTTTCTTCTTTATGCCAGTCTTGGTTACTGTAGCTTTGTTAAGTAAGTTTTAAAATTAGGAAGTGTGGATCTCCCATCTGATAAAAAAAAAATTTTTTTTAAAAATCTATATGGGGGATTGAACTCACGAACTCACGACCGCCTGCTTAAAAGGCAGGTGTTTATGCTGCTGAGCTAAATCCCCAGTCCCATCCCATCTGATAATTCTTAACCTTTCCTTTGAGTCACCGAAATAAGGTAGCCGGGGTAAGAGTGTGACTGAATGGTACAGCATGTGCCTAGCCTGCCTGAGGCCCTGGTTTCATCCCCAGCATCACAACTCCAGACAAACACACACACAAACTTCAAAAAGTTAGGATTAGCATAATCACTTTTTTTCTGTACCAGGTGGATAAATATAGTATGTTTTTGTTCTCTCCAGAGGCAAAGTGTAATTTCTTGATACAGTTATATGCATTAAGTATTCATATAGAAATGTCATGTTATTTTTTTCATACCTGATTGGTTTAGGCTTTTTGAACTCGATCACATCAAGCTGTCTTCAGATTTTTTTTTTTGTACTGGGAATCAAACTTCTAACCTTGTGCTTGCCAGTCAGGCACTGTGCTTCTGGAGCTGTATCCCCAGACTTTTTTTCTTTAAATTTATTTATTTATTAATTTATGGGGTACTGGGAATCAGACTCAAGACCTTGCACTTGCCAGGCAGTGCAAGGTTTGTACAGCTGAGCTATATTCCCCTGTCTTCAAATTCTGAGGCCTCATGGTAGCAAATTTGTTAAGAGTTCTCAAGTAAGAACAGTCTTGTTTGGGATACACGGAGATCATTGAAATTCATGGTGCTTGACTTGTCATTGTAGTTAATGAATTAATACAATCCAAGAGTTTTGTTAATTTTCTATATGATTATTGTCTTAGTTACTTTTCTCTCTCCTATTACTGAGGCAAAATACTTGATGCCCAAAATTAAGGAAAGAAAGGTTTATTTGACTCACAGTTTGTGGAGATTTCATTCCATAATCAGCTGGCTCCAGGGCATGGTAGCATGGTGAGGGGTAACAGTTTAAGGTGGCAGAAGACAGCAACATCTAGTGGAGGAGCAAGCCTCTTTTCCTCCCTTGTATTGTAAGTGGGCAACAGGCCCTAGGGTGAGTGTAGCACTCAGACCATCTCTGTGCCCTCCTCTTGCACAGGCTGAGGACCTTTACAAAGTAAGGGCCCTGGCCGCCTGTGCTGAGTTATTTAGTTAAGCTTGTAAACTTCTCAAGCTGATACAACCATTACAGTTATAGATAAGAGTTTACCCTTAACACATTTTAATTATGAAATAACAATAGAGAAGTATGTAAGACATAAATATACAGTTAATGAATGAATTAATTATAAAATATAAACTCTTGTAATAACAGTCACCAAAGCTTCAAGACTCATCCATTCTTTCCAGATCATGAATCCCAAAAGGAAACCACTGTCTTGCTGGTGTGATCCATCTCTTCCTTCCTTTCTTTTTCTTTTTTGTTTTTTTTCAGACAGCACTTCCAGTATTACACACAAGTGTCTGCATATATGTGGGATTGTTTGTGGGCTCTGCCATCTGTTATGAATTACCTTGATTCCTGTAGTTTGAAAATAACCCTTGATCCCTTCTAAAGGGTTTCTCCCACTGGGGATACCTGCTTGCCTTCATATTCTGGGCCTTTCACATTTCCACATCAGTTTTAGAATTGGCTTGTCAGTTTCCACAGATTTTGATTGGAATTACATTGAATCTATAAATCACTTTGAGAAAAATTTATGACTTTGTATTATTGAATTTTACATTCCATGATATTTTCATCTTATGATTTTTCAGTTCCAATTGGACAAATACAGTTTTAGTTCTCTCCCTCTATTTAAATATTCTTCAAACTATTCCAGTAATGTTCTATAATTTTCTTTTCTTTTCTTTTTTTTTTTTTTTTTTTTTTTTTTTTGTCTTTTTTCATTTTTATCGGTACCAGGGATTGAACTCACGACTGCCTGCTTGCAAGGCAGGCGCTTAAGCCGCTGAGCTAAATCCCCAGCCCCTATAATTTTCTTAAAGAGGGCTTGCATAGTTTTTGTTAAATTTATTCTAGTCTAATTTGATTTTTTGTTTGTTTTTTGAGGCAGGATTTTGCTATGTATGAGTCCAGGATGGCCTTGAACTTGGGTTCGTCCTGCCTCCTCAGCCTTCTGAATTACATGCATATGCCACCATGCCCACCTATTTCATTTTTTAAAATGCAGTTGTACATGTTGTTTTATTTCATTTTTAAGCTTTATATTGTTGCTAGATGGAAATAATGTTGGTATATGGAAATGTGATTACTTTTTAGTGTGGTAAAAGTGTACTCATTGCAGTCTTTTTATTGATTCATTCTTTTTTTTTGGTCTTTTTCCTTTTTATCGGTACCAGGGATCGAACTCACAACTGCCTGCTTGCAAAGCAGGTACTTATGCCGCTGAGCTAAATCCCCAGTCCCTATTGATTCATTCTTGATGTTGCTTTTTTGAGACAGGGTCTCACTGCGTAGTTCAGATTGGCCTTGAACTCACTATGAAGCCTATGATGGCTTCAAAATTCCAGTGATCTTCTGCCTTAATCTTTTTTATTGATTTTGACAATCATTAGATACTTTTTTTTTTTTTTTGCCTGTGTAACTACTGCCTTTGTAAATGCAGCTTTTTTCTTTTTCAATCCCTATACCTTTTAATGCTTTTTCTTATTTTACTATACCAGCTTGTTCCTCTAGTGCAGTGTTTATCAGAAGTGGTGATAACAGGCATTTTTGTTGTGCTCTTAATCTGAAAGTGACTGCTTTCAGACATGCATGGGATTTTTTAGAAGTGTACTTTATTGGATTCTGAAAGTATCATCTGCTCTTTGTTTGCTAAGAAGTTTTGTTTGTCTGCATTTTAACCAAAGTAAATACTGACTTTTATCAAATACTTGCCCCAAATCTTTTTAAATGGTCACATTTTTCCTTGAAATTTATTAATGTGGTTCATTTCAATGATTAGAATCTTTAGTGTTACAAGCCACTTTGCACTCCTGATAGGGGACCCCCTTGATATTTGCATCTTTACTGCTATGTGAGAGTGACCTGGACTCATCCTTTCCAAGTGTTGGTTCCAAGGTTATACTGTCATGGGTTAGGGAATAAATCTTTTTTCCTACCTTAGGCAAGTTTTATATAATATTAAAGTTATTTATTCTTTGAATATTATATACCATTTGCTTGTGAGGTCATCTGGGCCTGGAGTTTTCTCAGCATAAATTATTCATAATATCCTCTTCCATACTTTGTTGAGCAGAATCAGTTGTTTCATCCTGTTTTTTTTTTTTTTTTTCCGTTCTGGATACTGGTTATGTCTTCTTTTATCTTGCTAGAATTTTTTAAGTTTGTGAGCCTCTTCAAATTATCAGTTCTTGGTTTTGACACTCTGTTGCTTGTTTGTTTTCTGTGTTATACATCTCTACTTTTCTTTGCTTCTGTGGCTAAGGTTTATTTTTTTTGTCACTTTTTGAGAATATGTTTAACTCAGTAATTTCATTCTCCCCCCCCCCCCAAAAAAAACCCCACACTTATTTAAAGATACACATTTCAGCCTTGCAAGCAGGCAGTCGTGAGTTCGATCCCCGGTACCGATAAAAAGAAAAAAGAAAAAAAAGTATATAAAAAAAAAAAGATACACATTTCGGTTTGTAGATTCTGCATCCTACAAATTGGTTATGTAGTATTTTTGTTGTTGTGTCAGATTTTCATTATGACTTTTGATTCATGTCTTATGACATTAATTCCATAACAATGACATTTGCATAATGGTTAATTATTTTATGGCTTGTAATTACATTATTATTATTATTATTTTATTTTATTTTTTGGTACTGGGGATCGAACTTACGACTGTGCTCTTGCAGGGCAGGCGCTTATGCCGCTGAGCTAAATGCCCAGCCCAATTACATTATTTCTGATGTCTGTAGTTCTGCTGAGTGACTCACTTAGTATATATTTGGGTTTATTCTGTCCCACATAAGTGTGTAAAGACAATGAAATTTGTCTTTGTGCATATTTCTGTGCTATAAAGAATTTGCTGGTGAGTTTCTTGTATATTCTCAGCTCAGTTCCAACCAAGCCTTGTATTTTTGATAGATTGTCAAACTGTTCATGTATTGACTTTTATTTTTCTCTATTTTAGTTGTGTTGGAGTAGAAGAACACCATGCTGTTGACATTGACCTGTATCACTGTCCCAACTGTGCACTTCTACATGGCTCTTCCTTGAGTAAGTACTGGAGGCCTAAGTAAAAATTGGTATTTTTTTGTTTTGTTTTGGTACCAAGGAGCAAACTCATGACCTCATGCGTGCCTGGCAGGCACTTGTGCCCCTGAGCTAAATCCACAGCCCCTAAAATTGATATTTTGAACTTAACGTGATATAATAATACTTAATAACACTCTGGCAATAATACCCACCAAGAACTGTAAGGAAGATTTCACCCAATACTTAGAATGCAGTTTCTGTCTGAGTTAGTAAATAACTTATTAAATAAGTCAAAAGAATAAGGGAAAAATGCTAGCGCTTTAAATTGTCAGTACAGAACTCATTAAGTACGTATATTTAAATTTTTCATTTTGAGAAGTGTGATAAACTTTTCTGATCTGAAAACTTACTTTTGATTGATTTTATCTCTTTTTTTTGTCTTTTTCATTTTTATCTGTACCGGGGATCGAACTCATGACTGCCTGCTTGCAAGGCAGGCGCTTATGCCGCTGAGCTAAATCTCCAGTCCCGATTTTATCTCTTCATAAACAAAATCTTTTAGTATTTTGGGACAGTGTACAATGTACACATGCATTATATTTTTAGGAGAAAATTAGGGTATTGGTAAGCTGTTACTCATATTTTCCAAATTTGGTTGTTGTTGTTTTTTTTAATTTTTTTTGTCTTTTTGAGACAGGGTCTCACTGTGTAATTCAGGCTGGTATTGGGCTCACTTTGTAGCCTTGGCTGGTCTTGAACTCACAACAATCCTCCTGCCTCAAACCTCCCCAGTGCTGAGATTACAGGCGTGAGCCACCACACCTGGCTTGGTTGTTATTTTAAATATGGCTCAGAGTTCTGCCTGGTCCTCTCTGTTTGGAACTTCTCTGCCAACCTCTCCAAGAAATCTAAGCTGAAAGAATGCTACAGTATTTCCTTGTGAAATACAGGCTATCTGTTTTGTAAGTTCAAGTATAAACATTGAGGTTAACCAGCTGGTAGAATTGTTACAGGTATAATTTGACTAGTGTAGAATCATCAGTATTTTTAAAGAATCTTACTCTTGAGCAGCACGGAAGTCTGTGGTTTGACTTGAAATATTGACCAAAAGTAATTCTTGGAGAAAGTAAATAATAGGGAGCAGAACTAAAATTTATAATAGTTTTAGTTTAGAATTTAAATATTTTTAAAAACAAATCGAGCTGCAGATTTAGCTCAGCTGTGTAAGCGTCTGCCTACAGAGTGTGAGGTCGTGAGTTTGATACTCGGTACAAAAAAAAAAAAGTCGAATTTAAATTTAAACTTCATGAAATTCTAAGTTACTAAGAGGCAGAAAAATATATTCTACTATATGTGGTGCACTTTATTTTCTATTTCCCCTATATAAGTTCATCTTTTAAAAGTCTTGTCACACTTACTAAGTTGATTACATAGTCCTTAATGAACTGCAGACTGTGTTTTAAATAGTGGTGCATCCAAGGGAGACTGGCCTATTGTGTGACCCTTCTGATGTTTCTCCTTGAAGAGCAGATCAGGCACTGGCTATCTCGTAGGCAAAAATTTAACTCTGAGTGGTCCAAGACTCCAAGATTTAATGATCTGTTTTGTCCTGATGTAAGGCTCACTTTCCCACCCCTCTTCATCATCCAGTCCAGGTAATCACTTTTGATTCCTTTCCTTTTCTTTTTAAGCCTTACTTGCTAGCCAATGTTTCCTTTTCCTTTCAGAGTTCCCCATGACTCATTATAGATACCATTTAAACAGTAAAATACCCACTAGTGTGCTGAATTTAAACTTTATCCTCCATTGGGATTTTTTTCTTATTGGTGGCACTGGGGATTGAATTTGGGGCCTTTGCACTGAGTGACATTCCAGCCCTTTTAATATTTTTATTTTGAGAAAGGGACTTGCTAAATTGCCCAAGTGGGACTAGAACTTGTGATCCTCCTGCTTCAGCCTTCTTCAGTGCTATGGTTACAGTTGTGAATTACTGGGCTGGGCTCCTTGATTGGGAATCATGAATAGGATTTGATGGCACTCAAATACATATTCCATGTGTTCCTCAGGCACTTGAAATGTAGCATGATATTTACTCTCCTTTCCTTGTGACCATTACTAAAGTATTCCTTCACTAGTCTCCTTCCCTTAAGAAATTCAAGATGAATGTGTTTGTGTATACCTGCAATCAGAGCACTCTGGAAGCTAAGGCAGGAGGATTGCTGTGAGTTCAAGACCAGCCTGAAGTACATATAGTGAATTTAAGACCAGCCTGAATTGCACAGCAAAACCCTGTCTCAAAAAACTAAGAAAAAAAATTTAGTCATCTTTTGCAGTGACTGCTTTTTTATTCTAATCATGTTGGCCCAATAGGACAGTTGTTACTCTTACAAATCAGCATATTTAAAGGAAGTGATAACTGGCAATTTATTATATGCCAGGGACTTTGGTGGGTAATACTTGACCTAAGTATGATCCTTCTTATCTCCTTTGATATTTATAACCTACATACAATATAAGAATTATCTAATGCGTCTTTTATGGAACCACTTGGTAGAGCTGGATTTTGTATGTATAGCTGCCAAATCCAAAGCCAGTAGTAAAAGTGAAAATTAAAAAAGTGCTGCTCCTTGTTAATGCAGGGCCTGAGCTAGGTCCCTGCCCAGGAGGAACTACGCCTTTTCTGGATGCACCTTTGCCGTATGCAGTAAGTATTTAAAATAATAACTACTTCTGTAGCACATACGCTAAAAATAATAATCTTTAGGCATTTCTAGAAATTTGTACTGAGGAATTCATTTGGAAACAGATTAATCTATATGAATGTTAATCATGGCATTGTTTGAACAGAGTTTCAGGATGAGCTGAGTGCTTTAAAAATCCCAGTTATACTTGCTTGCTTGCTTGCTCGTTTGTTTGTTTATTTGTTTAAGTATCAGGGATCAAACTCAGGACCTCGTGCCTGCCAGACAGGTGCTTACTCTGCTGTGCTAAATCCCTGGCTGTCAAAAACTCAGTTGTAAAATGGTGCATCCACATCTCAACATTCTAGGCTATCTTTAAATTGCTTTTGAATACTTGATAGGGATAAAATGCTCATGATTAGAAAGGTAAGTAGGATAAGTATTGGATTCCAGTTAAAAATAAAATGAAATTATCCTATGTATAGTGGGAAAAAGCCTGCAATGAAATGCCCTTGAATTCTAGGAGCAGTTTTACGTGAGAAAAAAATAACATGTAAAAATTGCCTTGGTGGAATTTTAAAAGAAAGTTTTTCTATGATTCTAAATTTCTCTCCTGCTATTTTTTAAAATGGATTTATTCTCTTTCATATTGGAAAGCTGGCTGCAATAAGTTACTTGGGAATGATATTTTAAAGGCTTAGATTTGAATAAGCCTGATTTTCACTGCTATTGATTTGGTATGATCTTCCTTACCCATATGAGGATCCAGTATTAATTGTATTATTATGATCTTATTATGGTGAAGATTTAAAATAACTTGAAATCCAGGCATGATGGTGCATGCATATATATTTAATCCCTGCATTCAGAAGGCTGAGGCAGGAGGATTGCAGAGGTTATGGCCAGCCTGAAATACATAGAGAGACCTTTTCTGAAAAATAAATTTATCTGTCTGTCCATCCCTCCATCATCCTATCTTGAAATCACAGAGTTGTTTTCCTTCTAACATTTTGTTATGAAAATGTTAACACATACAGAATAAGCTGAAGTAATTCTACAGTGTCTATAAACTGTCACTGTCTAGGTTTTGCTGTTCAACATTTTATGTTAACTTACTCTACCACTTATCTCTCCATGTAATTCTATGTTTTATTTTTACTGCTTTTTTTATGCACTTCTGAGTAAGTTGCAAACATTAGTATATTATCCAAAATCATTGGATTTTAGGCTTAAGGGTGATTTTCAAGCTTATGCAATAAAATCTCACATAGATACCACACAGAAGAGCTGTGTGTGTGGCACTCAGGTGGAAGTGGGATTGAGGTCCCACTGTTTGCACTTCTGTCTTTGTCAGGTACCTCATACAGTTTGCAGATTGACACTGTCCCCAACCCACTTTAGTTCCAGACCAAAACCTAGAAATCCAGACTCAGAGGTGTTACTCACTGGCCCAAGGCTGCAGTGAAAGTGACTGAATGAAACAGGAATCAGCGCATTTCCTAAGTTTGGTTGTTGTGACTACTCATGATCATAGCCTCCTACGCTGTGGGATCAAGGACCCCTACTTTGAGTCACTCATGAGTTTTATTTTGTCACCCTACCTGTCTCACTTAATTATGAACAATAAGCTGTTCTTCATGTCAGTATAAATATACTGTACTTATTTTGGAAGTAAGTCTTTACATAAAAGCGAAAGGAATTGCAATGTTAAAGTAGATTTCTTTTTTTGTTGTTTTGTTTGTTTGTTGTTGTTTGAGACAGGGTCACCCTATCCCTACGTAGTCCAGGCTGGCCTTAAAGTCTCTGTGTAGCTCAGGCTGACCTGAACTTGCAGCAATCGCCCTGCCTCAGTCTCCTGAGTGCTGGGATTACAGGCATGCACCACCACACCCAGCTTAATGTAGGTTTTTTTTTTGGGTACCGGGGATTGAACTCATGACCTAGCGCTTGCCAGGCAAGTGCTTATGCCGCTGAGCTAAATCCCTGGCCCTTAATGTAGATTTTGATATGAGATAAAAGGCCCTGTTTGAGAGAAAAACTTGGATGATCTAGATCATATCATGATCTAGTGTTCTCATGAAAATCACAGTTTTAAATAAGTTGGTAATGTCATGGGGTGGATAAATAAAGGTATTATAAATTCATTTCTTGATTTAAATTATTTAATTTTTAAATTATTTTGAAATAAAAAGAATAGGTTTTAAAAACACAATGAATTACCTAGAATTGCAACAGTAATTAAATGAAATTTACTTTTGTGACCTGGAAATATATTAAAAACTTGAGGTTTTTTTCCCTGTGTCTTTAAAAAAAAAGCTTATGAATCTCCGGTTAAAACCAACAGGGTGGCCAGGGGTTTAACTCTGTGGCATAAGTGCCTGCTTGGCAAATGCGAGGTTGTGAGTTCAATCCCTGGCACCAAAAAACAAACAAACAAACAAACAAACAAACAAACAAAAAACCCAACAGGGTAAAAAAAGAAAAAGAAAAACATGGGCTGGGAATTTAGCTCAGTGGTATAAGTGCCTTCCTGGCAACTGTGAGTTTTGAGTTTGATTCCCCGTACTACCAAAAAAAGAAAAACAAAAAACCAGAGTATGGTGGTTATATCTGTCCTGAAACTGAGCATTTTTATTGTACTTACAGTTGTTTTTTCTGAACATGTAGATATACTGATCAGAAAGTATATCATGTCAAGAGCTGGGTAACGTGGCTTTTGCTCAGGAGGCTGAGGCAAGAGGATCACAAGATTCTGGTCAGTCCAGGCAATCTAGTGAGACTGTCTCAAAACAAAAAATAAAAATTTTTGGAATGTAGCTCAGAGATAGCATACTTGCCTAGTGGGTGCAAGCCTGGGGTTCCATCCCTAGCACAAATGAACAAATGACGTAATGTCACCAGTTACCAAGAATGTTTTCTTTTTTAACCTTTTAAAACTACAGTGAAAAAGAGGAGGAACTGGCACAGGCATGACTACACAGAAGTTGATGATGGTTCCAAACCAGTACAAGCTGGAACCAGGACTTTCGTCAAAGAGTTACGTGCTCGAATCTTCCCAAGGTATGGAAACTCTGTGACTGAACAATTTAAGTTGGCTGATAAAATGACATTATCTAGAGCGTTATTTTCAAGCTTTAGGCTGTAACACATTTTTGTTTTCAACTGGCATTTTGCTTTTTTTCTATATCGAAATGGAGTAGAAAATACCTTACGTTTCAGGTAAAAGGAATACATATCATTTCACGGAACATTTGCTGTATGTATGTGCATCGTGGTCACCATGTAAAAATATACTTTATTTTTTTTGGTGCTGGGGATCCAACTTGACATCTCACTTGCCAGGCAGGCACTGTGCCTCTGAGGTATATTCCCAGCCCCAAAATACACTTCTTACCTGTGATTCATAGTCCAAAAGCTTTGTGAGATGCTGATGTGAAGCAGTCGTTCCCAGTGCTTAGTTCTTTCTGATAAGCAAGTACTGCTTCTTTGCTTTCATCTCATCTTCTCTGGAGCTGCTTCTCCCCTGACCATTGTTTTCATTATCTGTCTACCAGAAGTACCTACAATCTTTGCTTAACTATTGAAGGCAGTAAGGTGGAGCTTTTTGATTTTTAAAAATAATAGAATATATTTCAGTTGTCTGTGGCTCAAAGAAAGTCAGATGCATTATAAAGCAGTCAATGCTAATTTAGATTATTTCCTACTCACTGGCTGTCATCTATTTAAAGTGATAATGCTTAATAGGCTTTTATACCAGATCATATCCATGCTTGATAAAGAGTGGAAGTACAATTTAAATTTAAACCACAGTATCACTTGTGGTCTATTATGGAATTTTTTGAGATCTTGAAATGACAAAAAAACAAAACAAAACAAAAAAAAACCCTGCCCGTTTTCCTCCCCCTGCCTCTTCATACTTACACAGAAACATACTGCTGAGCATACATGTTGGCTCCCTTAGGTCTGCAGAGAAACAGAAAACATACAGAATAAACATAATGTTTGCACAGGATTCGTTTGGAAGTTAGAGAAGTGTTTGCTTGCTTTCCCGCTTTTGGACAGTGCTTAAGTGGCATGGAGCTTGTAGTCTGGGTCTGTTTGTGGGCCTGAGGCAGGTTTGTGACTGCCCTAAAACAGTGTGTCCAGTGTGGTGACCTATGTGAGCACCCTTTTCTCAGTGAGAGAAGCCCTGGCTTTTACTTTTTTCAAATAGATTTGTGAGCCCCCACAAAAATAGTAGTAAAAGCTTTGACCTAGTAATTCTTGTGGCTTTTCTGCCTAAGTGAACACAAATGAGAAAATATCTAAACTGTAATTATCATTAATTAAAGGCCTTGAATTTATTTTGTGTAACTCCATAAGCGTTTGGATCATGTAAAGCCATAGTAGAATAACAGTAAGTACTAAATTACACATGCTTGATATAATGACACAGAAGTGTATTAAAGTGGGTAGATTTGCTTGCATCTCTCTTATTTTAACACTTTTATGTGTGAATATATGAATGTATGTATGCATATACCTTTTAAAATAAAATGAAATTATGTTATGCATAGTGTTGTACAATTTGCCATTTTTACTTTAGATATCATTCCGTATTACATATGGAATACACACACTCCACTTTTTTTAATTTTTAATTTTTTATTTTTCCAAATCCATTTTATGTCAAGGAGAAAAAGAAAAAAAAAAAAAAGAAGAAAAAAACTAAAATAAAATTTCAAAACATGTCAATCAGGGGGTCACTCCTCACTTTTGCACTGTTGTGTAACATGCAATAAAAACCTTACTTGGTTTACTGTCTCCTTGTATATATTTAATTTTCTCCAATTCTTTTTCAAATAATGTTGCTATATTTTAAAGGCTTGCATCTATATTTTGATCAACAGAGGAAGTTAAATACTATCAACATTTGAGCTAAGAGTGAAGATGATAAATTCTCTCTTAGATTGGAGTTTAAGGAATTATTTAATCCTCAGAGAGCAAGGGAAGGAGAGAAGTTTGGATGCTTATTTGTAAAGTAAAAGGTAGTACAACTCGGGTTCAATAGATGAGTTAGATAAAGAAGACCTAATCCACCCATTTACAAGACTGTCTAAGCTGGATGTTTGTGGGGACCCACATCTGTAATGGCAGCACCTTGAGAGGCGGAGGTGGGAGGATCTCAAGTTTGAGTCCAACTTGGACAACTGAGTGACGTAGTAACACCCTGCCTCAAAATAAGAAAAATAGAAGGGCCCAGGATGTAGCTTAGCGCGAAGGCCTTGGGTTCCATCCCTAGCATCCTCCTCACCATAAGGACTATCTGGGAGAAGGCTGTGTCAGTTACTGAGGCCTTTGTGCCTCTGCCTTACTGAGACAGCAGGAGAATCAGGGCCTGGTAATGCAGAAGACCAGCATTCCCCTTTTCTTCTGTTTTGTCCTGACCACATAGTCTGCAGGTGGCATCAAACGGCCAGGATCTGCTTATATAAATGGAAACTGCTATGTTTCAACTGTTAAGGCAAGTTGTGCACATAATTTTAAATACTGTTAAGGATTAAACACTGGTGGTCAACTTAATGCCAGCGGAATTAAATCACCATGGTACTGAGTGTAAATGTTCCACCTGAGAAAAGTTGCCAGCATAAATAGAGGAGAGAGATGTTGAGGCGCTGAGGCATTGTGGGTTCTCCAGCGTGTTGCTGTTTGAGCCATTGGTTCTCCTGGAGAAGCTCTGGTCCTCACATTGAGCACATTGCTGCCTGGCTCTGGAGGGAAAGACATGTGTGGCATAAACTCCAGGATGAACTCATCATGCTGGCTTCCTGGCATGTAGACTGTGCTTATTGTTGGAGGAGCTCAGGACCTCCATGTTGCTGAGGATGGTTGTGGTACTTTTCAGAACAGCTCTGGTCTTTGTTTTGAGTGTGACTTCTCGCCTCCAGTGTAGACCCCTCAACCTATTAGCACAGCTCCTTTACCCTGTCTGGCATAGACTTTCTGGCTTCCACCGTTGACCTTTGGGCCTTTATAGATCTGTAAAAGAGACTGGCGTGAGTCCTTCTTTTGGACTCTGGACCTCCAGTTGGACTTAGGGAGGCATTGCCATGAGCTCTGGGTCTTCACTTGGACTCATGCGGGACATTGCTATGGGATTCAGGCCCTTGGCTAAATATTCTATGTCTTTGGTGTTGTAGATAGATTTCCTGCATTTTCTTGTGTTAACTCTGGGTGATTATCATAAAATAATATTATGAAGTCCATGTCCTGATTCTAACTATTCTCCTCACAACCCCTGAATATAACAAAAACATAGAGGCTGCATGCTGAATTTCTTTGGATTTGTGGTGGAGGACAGTAATGAGACAAGTCACACTGAAGTGTAATATCTATATCAGGGAAGGGAATCTGAGGTCCAAATATTTTTAGTTGATGAAGTATCTACCTAGTATTAAAGTCTTACTAGTACTGTTTGCAACAAATCACTTAAATTCATAGTCCTCAATGAGGCCATGAGGGACACTTTTCTCAATGGGTAAGGGACCAGGGCCAGTAGTTACCTTCCTCTAGGCAGCACAATTCATTGTTCTGTGTTCTGTTAGACTTTAAAATGCTTGATAAGTGTTTGGATAGAACTTGATAGTCAGGTAAAACCTGGTCTGCATTTTACTTACCCTAACACTAGTTTCTATTGTAATATACAACCTGCCTAGTTGCTCTTCTCATTTTCTACACAGTTTTATTGAGTGGCTTCTAGTTTTCTTACTTCTTTTATTTTTTTTATTTTATTTTATTTTATTTTTTTCCTTTTTATCGGTACCGGGAATCGAACTCACAACTGCCTGCTTGCAAGGCAGGTGCTTATGCCACTGAGCTAAATGCTCAGCCCCCCTTACTTCTTTTAAATTCAGCCCTTCACTACCACTAATGTTAAACATCTTACTATTTTATTATGTCTTTGAGTGTAATTTATCTGGAAATTTTACATATGGAAATACATATTGCTCTAAACCAGTTTGTTGCTTTCTCTTTTTTTAATGCTTAGAATATTTTATATTTTCAATTACTATCTATTGAATTAAAGGCTATATTATTTATGAATATACTTTAGAATGGCAAAAAGGCTTTGCAAAATGTTATTAAGAGGAGAATTAGATATGTTAGGTGAGAAGTGATGTAGCTAATTATGCAGTATGAATGTACTATCACAGTTACTGTTTTTAAACTGAACTTACCAACAAAAATGACATCTTAGTCTTATATTTTAGTGCCGATGAGATCATTGTGAAGATGCATGGCAGCCAGCTGACACAAAGATACTTGGAGAAACATGGATTTGATGCCCCTATCATGGTCCCTAAATTAGATGACCTAGGACTCCGGCTTCCTTCTCCTGCTTTCTCTGTGATGGATGTGGAACGTTACGTAGGTACGAACTTGACTCTTTTTAAGTTCTCAGGGAAATATGGTAAAAGTAAGTATGTGTTAAATATTATAACTGGATGAAGAAATGTCAGTTTAGTTCTGTGTCCTGGGTCAGCGAAGGTGAGACGCAGTGTTGTTGAAAACTGCTTTCCTCAGCAGTCCTCCTATATAAGAAAAATCAGTGTTTGGCCATCCTGATTTGTTTGGGCTTATCCTATGCTGGTGTTGGTGTCACTGAATGTAAAACTGTATTTGCTTAAGGAAGACTCTTACTTACTGAGGAGCACTGCAGAGCCAAGAAGCATCGGAGAGCGGGGCTGATTCTAGGCATTTGTGGAAGCTTGACACAGAGTTCCTGGAGCCCACTGTATTGACAAGCCTTTTGCACTGCTTTGTGCCTATTGCCTAGAGAGAAGGCTGCAAGAAAAGGAGATTCTATTCTACTTGTTTTTATATTAATGACTTGTTGACTTTTGCCATTTAACGACATGTATACTTAATCTGTAATTTTGAGGCCTAGAAAATAATTAAGAAATGGGGGGGGAGGAATAAGGGGGAAAAGTCCTTTACTGATTGCCAAATTATTGACATTTTCAGTCATTTCATTTATTCTTGCAGTGATGACAAAGTTCACTGTATGTAGATGCCATTTGTTTTTCAACTTTTAAAAAACATATTATTTGAAGATTAGATTCCAAATATATCTTTTCTCAAAATTGAACATCCATTACATTATGTCCTCAGCATGGAATATCAAAGAACTTATCCCTTTATTGAACAGTTGACAGTTGACAGTTTTCAGGTGCCAGAACGTATCTCAGTGGCATAGTGCCTTCCTGGCAGACATGAGGTCCTGAGTTCAGTTCCCAGTCCCCCCCAAAAAAAGACATGATAAGGTTGACAATTTCCATTGATAATTTTTTATCATTGATAATTATTTTGCTATGGAAACCCAATTAAATGTCCTGACTTCACAATGAGCTAAATTTGTGATTAAATCTGGAAGTGAGCCTGAGGTTTAACCTAAACCTGTTTGTATGGATAAACTTTATAAAATAAATGGCTTGTGTAAAGTTAGAACAAAACGTTCAAAGTGCTTGACAACTTTTTAGTACTGCAGGCTTCTCCAATTAAATACTAGTAACAGAACTTTTTAAAAAAAATTTGACAGTTTTTAATTTGGATCTCAAAGTAAATAGGAATTACAGTGATCAAATAATTTTATAAACAAATTTTATAAGAAGAACTAACAATCCTTACTACATATTCTACTAAAAAACCACAAAGTTGCTTGAGACAAAACCATAAAACTGAAGGAAAAATCATAGATCTACAATATTTCTCAAGGTTTTAAAACATCTCTATTGAGTGAAGAAGGCAGAAATTGTGTAATGAAACTGTCAGAATCAACATCATGCCTTAAGTGGATTCATCAAAATTGTACAATTATCCAATAAATGTAGAGTTATGTACTCTTCTCAAAATCTCATGGAATATTTGTCTACATAGACTCATGTTCAAAATGAAGAATTAAACATATCCCAAGGAATGGAAATCATGTAAGCACTCACATAATGGTGAAACAAAAGTAGAAATCAAGAACATAAAATACTTGATATATGCCTAAAAATTGGAGATTACATCACAAAGTTTTACATGAAATCTCTTCCAAATAAAAGGTCCAATTAAGTAAAGTATAAAAAGGAAGGTACATTTTATTATCATTTCAAGGTCCTTGAAATGGCAGTGCTTCAAAAGAATTTAAAAACTATAAATGTGTTAGAAAAGAATAAAGATCTCAACTTTAGAAAAAGAAAAATAACAGCAACATAGAAACGAAAATCACTGCACAAAATTTTTCATTGTTCAATAGTCATTCAGATTATGGGCTATAACGAAATGATTAATAATATGTAAAAACATTATTGACTAATGTCATCCATTACATTAAAAATCGATAGAAAAAAGACAAATCATATTAATGGATGTAGAGAAAACACAAGAAAGAAAAAGTAGTACACATTGAGATTAAGATAGAACAATCAAAATGTCTTCACTTGTATATAATGTGGTAAACGTTAAAATACCAGCAGAAAAAATCTTTTTACAAATTATTTTTATACAGATTTTGTATATTTTGTTCTGTAAATTATTATTTACAGAAATCTGTCATATAATTATGTATCAACAATGAATACTAAATTGGAAATTGTAAACATTACAAAAATGCAGGATAGAAACATTGTAATAATTTTACAAATTACTAATTTACAAAAATCTCGTAATTATGTATCAACAATGAACACTGCATTGGAAATTGTAAACATTACAAAAAATACAACACAGTAAAAAAAACTTCACAAAAGTTCAAATTCTACATATGAATTTGTAATAAACACAAGATAAAATAGTGATTAAACTTAAACAAATATAAGGAAATTAGATTATATATTGGCAAATTATGTAATATAGTATAGAAGCATATATCATAACAGAACTATTAAATCCCAAAAATAAGAAATATATGAGATACTGCTATTAACTTGTATGAAGTTACATCAGAAGACGACATTTATTTGTTTTCTATTTCAGATTGGTTAAGTATTACCATACTTTGAATTCCACCATATCTTGAAGTTCATTGTAAAATTTAGTAAGCTCTCTAGAGAGGCATTGTGATGCTTGTCGGCTTACGGTTTTATAGGCAAACTGAATTAATCACAATTCAGAATTTGGACATTTAGTTAGGCACTAGTACGAACTGGTTCTTTTGCCTCTGTACCACTAGTCCCTCTTCCCTGTTCTTTCTCCCTTCCATCTTTCTCTTTTCCTTTTTGTGGTACGGGGGATTGAGTCCAGGTCTTTCACATGCTAGGCATGTATTCTACTGCTGAGTTACATCCCCAGCACTTTATACTGAGGGAGAATGTGAAAGGAAAAAGTACTACCAGGAAAGCAAGTCACCCTGGCCAGCTGGCCTACCCATTCCTCAATGAGTGATCTGTTTACAAAAAATGGTAGAATTAGAATCTTAGATATTATAGAAGTTAGGAGGAAAAACTAATCCTCTCATTTTATGCATAAGGAAATTAAAACCTAGAAAGTGTCAGAAAATTTTCACATCCCAATATATATATTTTTTGTCATTTGGGCTGCATGCAAGAAATCATTGATGCATTGAAAACTTTGCAACCGGGGCTGGGGGTTTAGCTCAGCGGCATAAGCACCTGCCTTGCAAGCAGGTAGTCATGAGTTTGATCCCCGGTACCGATTAAAAGAAAAAAGAAAAGAAAACTTTGCAACCATGTACTTTTTAATACTGTTAATTTTTTTTTAAGCCCCCCCTCCCCCAGAACCTGAGATCGAACTCGCTACCATGTTTGCAAGGCAGGCTACTTATGTCACTGAGCTAAATCCCTAGCCCTTATACTGTTAATTCTGTAGCTCTGTTTTACTGCTTTTTTTCCCTTGAGAACTATCTTTTATTTTCAAAATATCCAATTGAATTTAAAAAGAAAAAATATAGGCTGGTGGGGGGAGGTACATGCCTATAATCCCAGCCCTCTGGAGTCTGAGGCAGGAGAATTGCTGCGAGTTTGAGGCCAGCTTTGGCTACAAAGTGAGTTCAAGGCCAGACTGAACTACTTGGTGACACTGTGTCTCAAAAAGACCAAAAAAAAAAAAAAAAAAAAAGTAAAAACAGAAGAATTTATCTTGGCTGTGTAGTTTTATGGTCAATTTAATTATCATATGAAGAAAATACAGTGTTTCAAATATTTTTGTTTGGGGCACATATTGATAGAACTTGTAAGCCCAGTAATAAGACTTTTTTTCTCTATAGGTGGTGACAAAGTGATAGATGTTATTGATGTGGCAAGACAGGCAGACAGCAAAATGACCCTTCACAATTATGTTAAATACTTCACGAATCCTGACAGACCAAAAGTGTTAAATGTGATCAGCCTTGAATTTTCAGACACAAAGTGAGTAGTTCTGGATATTTTGCTTTAACATTTTGAACATTGTAACTAAATGTAGCTCAATGATATATTTATTTTAGTAAGGTACTGACTTCTGAAGTTGTCCACTGGTAGCAGTGTTACAAATTTTCTTCAGTACACTTAGAGAATATTTGGAAATAAGGTATGCTTTAAACTTTAAGTGTTATTGTTAACCTTGAGTTCTGGTTACTTACGTGGTTTAGGTTGACATGGGAGAAGCAGTTTAAAGAAATTTTAATTTTCATTATGTGAGTGTGCATATGTGTGTCTGTTTTCTTTTGAAAGAATGTCTGAATTGGTGGAAGTCCCTGATATAGCAAGAAAGCTTTCCTGGGTGGAAAACTATTGGCCAGACGATTCAGTCTTTCCCAAACCATTTGTTCAAAAATACTGCTTAATGGGTGTTCAAGACAGCTACACAGATTTCCACATTGACTTCGGTGGAACATCAGTCTGGTACCACGTCCTCTGGGTAAGATTAGGGTGTTCCTTTGTTCTTTTAATCACAAAAATATACAGTTATATTTTTCAAGTAGTATTCATTTGTTACAAGTGACATTTAGTGAGGGAGAAATTTTCCTACTTTTTGGGTAGAATCTATTACTTTGGCCTTAATAGTTATGATTTCCTAAAAATCACAAGTGATAGGCTTGAGCTGTTTGTTTTTTAAAAAATTTTTAATAGTATGTACTTGTGATATGTGGGGAACTGGTACATATTGAGTCTTCATGAGTTCTTTATATTTAGATTCCTTTTTGTCTTCATCTTTTAAATTGGTTTCCGTTAACCTTATATCTTTTTCTTTCTCCATCCCTCTAGTTGATTATCCATTAATTCCTGGACCAAATACCTAAGAAGGAACAAAATGATAGTAATAATTGCTTCTGGCTTTAAGGATAGAGTAAGAGAACTAGGTGGCTAAGTCCTAAGTGCCCATAAAAATGTTAATTATTTGTAGTTTATATTCACTTTGCTTTATCCAGAATTGTACCTATTAGCCATGTGTGGCTAAATTTAAATAATTGAAATGCAGTATAATTTGAAAAATTCAGTTCCCCATTTCGCTGGTGACATTTCAAGTGCTCAGCCGCATTGGCTAGTGACTGCTGTGCCAGGTAGTGCAGATGAGAAAGGTCCCCCACCACAGAAATTCTGTCAGAGAGTGCTGGTCCAGTGTCTCATCGCATCTGGGCTGCACTGGACACTGAGTCCTTGACTCTCCTGTTGCTTTTCACCTGGAAGATGAAAAGACTTGATTCTCTAAAGGATGTTTATTTGCGAGTTTTTAGAAAGAGTCATTGTGGGATATAGATCTTGGGAGAGAGAGAGAGATGACTCTGTGCTGTGACCAGGCCTTTTAACATGAGAGGTCGTCAGGGAGGTGTTTGTGGTTTTCTACCTTGCTATCTGGCAGTGATTTGTCTGACTTAAATTACTGGCTTCTTGTCAATTGGGGGAGGAGAAGAGTTTAGCATCTGTGAAAATGCTGTTGAAAGGAATTAGCTATTGATCAAAAATGGGAAGGTCTTTTTGAACCTAAAACATTTTGCTAATTGTTTAATATACATCATTATATTGGAAAATATTATCAGTGTCCGCCGTTGAAAGGATGGCTTTCGGTTTTTCAAAGATAGTATGGTTACTTCCTTTTAGGGCGAGAAGATTTTTTACTTGATAAAGCCAACAAATGAAAATTTGGCACTCTATGAATCTTGGAGTTCATCTGTGACCCAGAGTGAGGTATTCTTTGGAGATAAAGTGGATAAATGCTACAAATGTGTGGTAAAGCAGGGACATACCTTATTTGTTCCTACAGGTAAGGTTTTAAGCCCACCCCTCTCTACCCATGGTTGATTTTCATTCACGTGGAGTTAGCTTGTAATTAGAATCTGTGGCTCTAAAATGTTTGTGAAGTAGATTTATGGCATTGCTTAAGAAATAACTCTGATCTTGAGGGTTTTTTTTTTTTTTTTTTTTTTTTTAATCCCTTAGAGGGCTTCTCTTACAGTTAGGACTTCTCTTGGCATTGTTTTATGTTGTTTGCCATCATTTTAATTTTCGCTGAAATAAAGTTCACATATTATAATATTTCACCTTTTAAAGCATACAGTTCAGTGGTTTTCAGTAGACTGGTAAAGTTATACAACCATCACCACTACCTGACTAGAACATTTTCATCCTCTCAGGAAGGAAACATGCCCTTCAGTAGTTACCCCCATGTTCCCCTTTCCTAAGCCTCTGTGTTTTCTGTCGCTGTAGGCTAACCTGTTCTGGACACCTGATATATGTGGCCTTTTGTGTCCAACTTCTTTCACTCGATATAGTGTTTTCTAGGCCCATCCATGCTGTAGCACATACAAGTGTTTCCTCTTTTTATGGTCCAGCAGTGGTCCCCTGTAAGTGTCCTGTTTTGTTTACTCATCCATCAGTTGGAGGCTGTTCTGAACAGTGCTACCTTGGATGTTTGTATACACATTTTCTGTGTGAAGGCCTGTTTTAATTTCTCTTGAGTGTGTATCTATCTAGTGGTAGAATTGCTGCATTGCAAGCTTTAACTATGTTTAACATCTTGAGGAACTATCAGTCTGTTCTGGGCATGTGCCATAAATCTGAAATGTATAACACTATGTCAGGATGAGATATGAATAGATGCAAAGTAGATTCTCAGGGCCAATGGTTTTTGACAGCTGTGTTCTTCTGATTTGGGCTGCCTCAGTTGGCTGCACAGTTCACAGGCTATTCCCAAGGCTCTGTTTTTTTCCCTTGACTGGTATATGTAATAATGATTATGTACTTGAATAAATGAATGAATGCCTACAACCACCAGAATTGCCTGGAATAAGTTAGCAGTGTTTATCCCTTAAATCCTCTTTCTAGTGTTCTCCTTTATAACAAATATTTTGTTGTTCCATTTGGAATTGAAATTCATAATATGTATAACTTCTTGCATAATTTGTTTAAAAATTGATTTAATGGACTACAAGAAAGAAGTAAAGAGGTAATTTATAAATGGAATACTATTCTAATATGTGACTGTGTGCCCAGTAGAAGTAAAGGACAGAATTGGTTAACTCCCTGAGTCAGCAAACCAGTACAGATACGTGCAGTGGCCTTCAATTCCAGCTGTCACTTTGGCGGGGTTTTTGGTTCTCAGACCTCAGTGAGCATCAGGGTCATCTAAAGAGCTGGTGAAACCAGATTGTTTCACCCTTATCACCCCTAGGATTCAGTAGATCTGGGACAGGTCTGAGAATTTACATTTTAACGAATTCTAACTGATGCTATTGTGTGGTCTGGGAACCACACTTTGAAAAATACTGTGATAGGCAGTGTAAGTTTTTTCCTCAAGATAGTTAACAACTGCTATGCTTACAAACAAACAAAACTGTAATTTCTTTCAATTTGCAATAGTTGTATTTCTGGATGTTGTGCCGAGCCCATGTAGATATACTTTGTTTAGATGCATAATCTGGTTTCTAGATTCAGATAGTTAATGAACAGGATTTGTACCTATGAATGCCCACATTTATCTTTCTGTAAAGTCTTTCTGTTAAGTCCATCATTTCTTTCAAAAACCAGGCAATCCTGTCTTAGAAATAATTTTCACCTTGAAAACACTTCTATGGGAAACATTATTTTGGTTGCCAATACTTCTGTGTATAGGCAGGCCCGTGACTCTCCGTAACTAAATGTTGGTCACTGCCTCTCCCTCCTTACAGAACTGGGTCTCGGATTGAGTGTCTAGTTCTCCTCTCCTCCTTCCCTGCAGGGCACTCTGCTAGTTCAGCACAGCACTAGGGAAGCAGAGAATGTCTCCAGCTCCTGTTTTCCTGAGGAAAACATGCTTTCCTAATTGAGACCAGAGTCAGTTTTCTTAGAGTAAAATCTTTACTGTAAGATTGGATTATGTTTTTAAACTAAACACAGAAACAACAGTAACTACCAAAACCTTCACTTTATTCTTCAAACTCAGTGCAGAGCTTGGCGTGTTACAGGCAATGAATACATATCTAATTGAAAGACTTAACAGATTGTAATAGACATTAACTTTTCTAAGCAGTGGAGAATGGAGCAAATTTAGGTTGCTCTTTGAATTATCTCCCTGGTAGGCATCACATCTTTTTGGTTGAAATATTGAAGAGTCACTGACTTACATATTTTAACCATTTCAGGGTGGATCCATGCTGTGCTCACGTCTCAGGACTGTATGGCTTTTGGGGGAAACTTTCTGCACAACCTTAACATCGGCATGCAGCTCAGGTTTGTGTCACTAGCACTGAAAGGATCTTCTGTCTTTTTTAAATAGGACATTTTTGTTTGCTTGTTTTAAAAACACAAGGTATTTTATTTGAGAGTCCATGGAGATAGGTCTAGAGAAATGATTAGGAATAGGAACTATTAACAGAAGTGTTAATTAAAACTTTTGTTTGTGATGCTTTGATACATTTCAAATCTAAAGCAAACATAATGACTCATTCTTCATGATTTTTATCTCTCCAAATTAATTTTTTCTTTTTGAGTTGAGCTTCTTGCTGTGTTGTCCAGACTGGCCTTAAACTTACTGTGTAGCCAGGCTGGCCTCAAACTCAAAGCAATCCTCCTGCCTCAGCCTCCCAAGTGCTGACAATTCAGGTGTGTACCACATCTGGCTAGCAAATTTCAAAATTTTGTAAAGATGGATATACTCTTTTTTGGCTGCTTTGCAATGAGGAAAATGTTAAGTCAGATTCAGTTGCGACCTCTGGTGCTGGAATAGAGCAGTCCTTCCATCAGGATGCTGTCAGAATGTTTGTTTTAATTCTGCTCAGATGAAAGATTAACAAGCCTTCCTCTTACATATGAAAATTTGATCATTGTGTAACTATTCACCAGGTAATCTAATGAGGAAGATATTATTACGCAAGTGTGTGGGGGAGGGGGGCAAAAATGGCTCCTGGCTGATAACTGCATGAGGACTGGGAGAACTAGGAAAACCTAGCTGGAAGCCATATGTTAGGTCTTCCCTGAGTGTAGTGACTCTTGTAACTTTGTGTGCCCAAGGGAAGCTCTGAATGCTCTGCCTCTGCATGTATGGAGTTACTGCAGGAGATCGTGGCCCTTGTAGGACTGTTAAGTCAAGGTCAGACCCATACACAGCAAGTTTGGATCTTGCGCCTCTTGAACCTGAGCTGTCCGTACGGGAGAGACAGCGCCTGCTCTAACATATTCCAGCAGGGACTGTGACAGAAGACTTAATAGTAACTGGCAAACTCTGGTTCCCGTCATCACACCATGACTGGTATCAGAGATGAGTTTTTGATTTTGTTTTTGACAGGATCTCACTATGTAGTTCAGGCTGGCCTTGAACTCATTACATAGCTCAGGCTGGCCTTGAACTCAGGGTGATCCTCCTGTCTCAGCCTCCCAAATGTTGAGATTACAGGTGTGCACAAACACACCCACCTCAGATGTGGTTTTGACCTTGAATATTTACTAAAGAAAACTTGACTGGATGTTGCAGTGTTGTCCAACACTTGGAACTAACTTTTTAAAAAACTTTTCACTTATTTTAATAGAATCTTCATAAAATGCTTCTGCTAAAATTAGGTTACAAATTCCAAGATATGATTTTTCATGAAGCACAATGTAATTATTAAGTACACTCAAATTTATTAAGGGCAGAACCTAGGTAAGATCATAATTAGGCATTGTCCAGCTGTGGTGTTTTAATAGCTACAACACTTGGTTGATTTTTTTTTTTATATGTTATATCCTGCTTAGTATATTTTTAAATTGATTATCTTCATTTAACTTTGAAATGTTAATAGTAAAGATAATTCTTCCAATTGTCTTTATTTAGGTGTTATGAGATGGAAAAAAGGCTAAAAACACCAGATCTTTTCAAATTCCCTTTTTTTGAAGCCATATGTTGGTTTGTAGCCAAAAATTTGCTGGAAACCTTGAAAGGTAATTAATGCTTTACACATTCTGTTATATAATGATGCATAATGTTTGTAAACTTCCTTAAAACTGCATGATAGAAAGATTTTTCTAGTAAAGTATGGCTATTATCCTTGTTAGTTTTTTAAAATACTCTGTTCACGATTTCTCCCACCAGGAACCTTCTTAGCAGTTAGTTTCTAGCCGATAGCCAGCCAACCTGCATTCTTAGAACTCAGCATGTAAACGCCTGTACCGGAAGCACAGTGGTGATACTGAGAAAGACTCATTTCATCTATAACTCCAGCGACCTGCAGTTATTTTTAAGCATTTGTAGGTACTTCACTCACAGAAAGTAGCTTCTGTCAAGAGACTTTTTATCTTTTTAAGGCAGGGTTTCTCTATGCAGTTCAGCTCACTTTGTAGCCTAGGCTGGTCTCAAACTCGCAACGATCCTCCTGCTCCAGCCTCCCAAGTGCTGGGATTACAGGCATGAGCCATGCCCGGCTTTTTTTTTTTTTTTTTTTTTTAATCTTTGAGGTAAGATCTCTCTATATAGTTCAGGCTGACCTTGAGCTCACTTTGTAACCCAGGCTGATCTTGAATTTGCAACTGTCCTCCTGCCTCAGCCTCCCGAGTGCTAGGATTACAGGTGTGCACCACCACCACCCAACTTGTCAAGAGACTCTTTTTTTTTTTTTTTTTTTTTTTTTTTTTTTTGTCTTTTTCATTTTTATCGGTACTGGGGATCGAACTCACGACTGCCTGCTTGCAAGGCAGGCACTTATGCCGCTGAGCTAAATTCCCAGCCCCTCAAGAGACTCTTAATTCATATGGTTCTTAAACATTTTGCTTTAAAAGGCCCAGGAACCGTTTCTTATGGCCTGGGAGAATCAGGTAGTATCTGTGTCACCATTGTGACTGTCAGCTGGCTGATATAATTTGCCTATGAGCGTACCAATCCCTGAATGTCAGTTTAGGGTGTGTATATTTTTTGAAGCTTTTTTGTTGAGATATACAGCTATTTTTTTTTAAAGGGGGAATTCAGCTTTTGATGTTTACATATTCCAACTTTATCTTTGAGCACTGGAGATTATATTTTCACTGCCTGAAGTGCATGAAAAACAGTACATAGAAATAAACATGACATTCAATTTCCAGGTACCAGTGAGAGTACAGTTTGTCTAGTTTTGAATTGTCTAACTTTTCTATTCAATTTGCAAATGGTGCTGATATTACAGTGAACCCCCGGAACAGATGTAAACAAATAAAACAGTAAACATTTTTTTCCATTTAAAACACATAGGAGAAAAGGAAAGAAACAACCAAAAGTTTACTTTCCAGAATAGCATGTATAGAACTGACATAAAGCTCATCATTTATCCCTCCCACCCCCCACCAAAAAAAGCAGTCAAGTCCTTCTGTGAGTAGACGAACAATGACACCTTGCAGTCCTTCCATGCAGGCCGGCTTCTACGCCAGCAGCGACCCTTATCCTGATCCCACCTCGGTGTGTGTTCAGGTGTTGTGCTTGGCTGCAGGAATGGCATAGTGAACCAGAGAGTCGCAGTTCTCAGCTGCCAAGGTTGGAGTGGAAGCTAGGCACTTAATCTTTGAACAAGTGCAAGCCTAGGAATGTGGACCAAACATACTTGTAAAAAGCATTAATGAGTGTTCCTATTTTCTAGAAAAACAGACTCAAGTCCTGCATTCAGTTACTCTCTCTACTATTAAGAGATTGGCAGTTTTACACTTGGTTCAGGGTTTTTTCTCCCACCTTTTTGGTTATTCTGTCCTGGATCCTGAGTTCCTATTTTAGTGAGGAAAAATTCTACTAACACTCCTTAATGCTTTAGAGGAGCTTATCAGTTGACTTTTAGAATGAATTGAATTTATTCAAAAGACAAAATCTCTTCATTATTTTTAAAGCCACAGCAGCATTTTGCATAGTTTTAGAAATAACTCTTAAGTTGGGCATGGTGGCATATGCTTGTAGTCCCAGGACTTATGATCGAGTCTGAAGCTGGAGAATCTCTGTGGTTTAAGGATATCTTGACCTACATAGTGAGTTCAAAACTAGTATAAACTATACAGTGAAAGCCTGTCTCAAAAACAAGTAAAAAAATGAGCTATTTACTATTTGTCTTAGACCATCAAAAGTTCACAAATATTTAAGTTTATTTGTAAACAATGGCCATATACAATAAAGATTTTTAAAACATGGGCTGGGGATTTAGCTCAGCTGTGTAAGCGCCTGCCTTGCAAGCATGTAGTCATGAGTTTGATCCCCGGTACCAAAAACAAACAAACAAACAAACAAACAAACAAAAAACCAAAAGAATTTCTATAAAAGGGTATTTGTAGGTTGCTTTAAAATGTTTTATCAGGGAGCTGTGGATTTAGCTCAGCAGCATAAGTGCCTGCCCGGCAAGTGTGAGGTTGTGAGTTTGATTCCCCAGTACCAAAGAAAAAAAAATGTTTTATCAGCCAGGTCAGTAGACACTTGGCAAGTGAATGAAGCTGACTGATGCACTCCATTCGCGCCAAGGCAAAAGCCAAATGACCATTACAGCTCTCCCCATCGTGCTGGACATTTTTCTGAAAACAGGACTGGTACCCTTGTCTCTCCACATTACCCTTGTTTCTCCACTTGTGTCTTCTTTCATGGCTGACCTTTTTACTTTGCATTGTGAGCTATTATCTGCCAACTCTTAGGCTGCTATAAAGCTTGTATTTAGCTGGGCTAAGTGAGGGTGGATTCTGCAAAACTTGATCTCTGTTTCATCTCAGTGATAATAAAGCAATAAACCGGGTTTTATTTGTGTAAGTAAATTAGCCACTGGGCAGAACTGAAATTGTTTGCTTTTGTTTTAACTTACCTGAATTCTAGATTACAGCTGAAATATTTTTCTTAAGTTTCAGATGATCAATTTGTTTTAAAAACCCATAAATGACTTCTATGTGTATGTGTTTATTGTATAATAGTGAAATATATGGCAGACCACTGACTATGCAGATCACACATACACTGCATACACACATACTGTTGCCCATTTTAAACAAAGTGCCTATTGTTCAGTTAATCCCTACACGTTAGACCAAAAAATAGTCTTGCCAATGTCTCAGAAACATGTCACCTCCCTCATTATAACTCCTTGTCATGCCTGCGTCCTTCCCCTCTAGAGATAACCACTTTCTCTCAACTTTTGTGATACCCTTTTCTTTGATTTTATCAGCTGTATTGTAAAGTAAAACAGTTGAATTCTCTCCATTTGTAAACTTCGTATGAGTATTCAAGCTGATACACTTTGGGACCTTACCTTTTACTCAGTAGTATTCGTGAGATGGGTCCATGTTTGCTTGGGTAGAGTTTCCTTTCCATTGCTGTGGTGTTCTGTTGTGTGAATACAACTTCATTTGCATTGATGTTCTATAGAAGTCATTGAGTACTGGGGTTGGTTTACAGCCAGGGGTGATTGTGGAAGATGTTTCTCAGAAGTCCTTAGGGCTGCCACTCAGTGCAAGAGTTAGCTCAGAGCGCAGGCCTGCTGGCTAAGTTATGTATAGAATTCAGTAGCTGATGCCAAATTGTCCCCATTCTTATTCCCATGGCTGAGTGTGAGGGTTTACAGTGCTCGACATGCTTAAAACTTGTCACATTAGGTTTTAAGTTTGCAAATCTACTGCTTTATATTTTTAATATACATTATCCTGATTATGTATATAATTGAGCATTTTCCATATAACCTTTTGGATTTTCTATTTAATTGTCTGCTTGGATCTTTTCCCAATATTTCAATTTAGTTGTCTTTTTGTACTAATTTAGAGAAATTCTTTATGTATTCTGACTTTTGTCCTTTCAGTAATATATGTTGCAGATGGCATCCCACCAACTGACTTAACTATTTACTCTCTTTGTGGTGTCTTTTGAAGGATAATACTTCTTAATTTTAGCATAATATTTTTTCAGTTAAACGGAACGTTAATGCCTTTTGTGCTTTGTTTGAAAGTTTTTTGTTTCTTGGGTTTTTGTTTTTTTTTTTTTTTTTTTTTTGGTATGAGGAATCGAATTCAGGGCCTCACGCTTGCCAAGTAGGTGCTGTGCCACTGAGCTACTTCCCTGACCTTGATCCCAGAGTCTTGCAGATACAGTCTTCTAAAAGATTTTACAGTTTCATGTTTTACATTTAGGCTTTTGGCTTATTTATAATTGAATTTCTTGTGGATATGGGTAGGAAGGGATATCTTTTCAGTTGTTTTCTTATAGATCCTCGTGGGTTCCAATGCTGTATTTTGCTGTTCTTGGTAGCTGCTGCTCCTGTCTGTTCTCTGTGTGAATGTGCATGCAGGGCCTGTGGCACTTACTGCCATACTCATTCTTCAGTCCTGGTAGGCTGGTGATCAGTCTTTCCCTGTGCACAGTTTCCAGGTTACATTCTGGAATTCTGCTGGTATCTGCTTGTTCCTCTGCTGTATTCTTCAAGCGTGTCTTGCCTTTGTTTTCCATAGAAGTTTTTGAATTACCTTCTTATAAGCTTATCCTGTTTCTTCTCCCTTGAAAAAAGCAAGCAAGTAAATAAGAACATGTGGGTTTAAATTTGAGCATATTGAATTTGGAGATCAATTTTGATAAACTTTTATGTCATTAAATATGGAGTTCTTAAGCCAGGAATGGTGACACACACACTTGTAAACCCAGCACTCAGGAAGCTGAGGCAGGATGATTGCTGCCAGTTTGAGGCCAGCCTGGGCTACAAAATGAATGCAAAGCTGGCCTAAACTGCATAGTGAAAACCTGTCTCCAAAAAAATAAAAATAAAAAATAAAAAATTATAGTGGAATGAACATGTATTTAGATCTTTGATCTTTTGAAGTTTCTTTACTTTTTCTTTTTGGTTTAGTTAGAAAACCAGGGGCTGGGGATTTAGCTCAGCGGCATAAGCACCTGCCTTGCAAGCAGGCAGTTGTGAGTTCGATCCCTGGTACTGATAAAAAAGAAAAAGAAAAAAAAAAAAAGAAAACCAAACACCTTTTTTTTTGTGGGGGGAGTACTGGGGATCAAACTCATACCCACACACTTGCAAGGCAGGCACCTTATGCTGCTGAGCTAAATCCCCAGCCCAAATGCATACTTCTTAATAGACTTATTCCTAGGTGCTTCATATTTTAGTGTTATTATAAATAATGTATTGACACTACATGTATTTATATATAATTGAATGATATAAATTTGCTTTTTTTTATTTCAAAAATGGCCAGATACTGGGAGTTCATAAGAATAAATCTAATAACTCAGGTGATGTTGAAATACAAAAACAATTTTTATACTGATTTTTTTCATCTGGAAATCTTGTTAAAAACTATTATTTAATAATTTATCTGAGAAAATTTTGGTTCTCTAATGTATAATTGCATACATTTTTTGTGATAATGACAGTCTTGTTCTTTTTGGAATATTTGTATGTTTTAATTGTTTCTGCTCTACTAGGTTGGCTAGGACCCCCAGGGAGTAGGAAAAGTAGGATCTTTATCTTGTTGCCAGGCTCAAAGGAAAGCTTTCCACCTTTCCACTGTTTTATCATTGTGTTTGGTGGAAGTCTTTATTGATAACCTTTATTGAGTTTAGGAAGTCCTTGTCTACTCTGAGTTAGCCGAAAGATTGATTACATCTTTTATTTATTTTTTTACATCTTTTTTAATTAAATAATCGGTGTTGGTTGAATTTTATTAAAAAGATTTTCATGCATGTATTAATGTAGTCCTCCCACAAAAAAAAAAGGTGTTTGGTTTTCTTTTAATCTTTTAACTTAGTAGTTCTATTATTTTTCTAATGTTAACCCAACATTGTTCTTGATACAGTTTTTTCATACTAGTAGATTCGCTTATGGTCCATGGTATATTTCATATATGTTACTTTAAGTATTCTAGATATATTAATATATATTAAAATTGTAAATAATCTACATAAAATACAGAAAATGTATTTTCATATTACATATATACATTTTTTTTTCCTTTTGGCACATGAGTAAAATTGGCCCGTATTTTCTTTTCTTTTCTTTTTTTTTTTTTTTTTTTTGGAGACAGGGTCTCGATATGCTGTTCAGGCTGGCCTTGAGCTCACTTTGTAGCCCAGGCTGGTCTCGAACTCGACGATCCTCTCACCTCAGCCTTCCAAAGTGCTGGGATTACAGGCATGAGCCACCACGCCTGGTGTATTTTATTTCCTAACTGTCCTTGTTAGATTTTGGTATGAAAGTTGTGCTCATCTCTGGAAAAAAGTTGGGATTGTTCTCTCTTTTTTTGATTTCTAGAAGAATCTGTGGAGCGATGGATAAGACTTACTGATCAAAATATGTAGTGTTTATATTATCTGTTCATGGGAAGATTTCTTAATGCTGAATCAGTATCTATGAGCTTAGGTTGTTTAGATTTTCTAATTTTATTGAGTCTATTTTGATAAATCAATTACTAGAAATGTTTCTAATTTTTTTTAATAGTTGTTGACATAAAGTTATTTCCATTTTGTTTTTGTTGAGACAGGGTCTCACTGTGTAGTGCAGGCTGGCTTTAAACACATGGGGTTCCTCTTTTCTTTTTTTGTATCAGGGATCGAACTCATATCCAAGTGCTTGCAGGGCAGGTGCTTATGCTGCTGAGCTAAGTCCCCAGTCCAAAGAATTAAGACTTTTTTGTCTTTTTTTGTTGTTGTTGTTGTTGTTTATACCCGGGAATGGTGTTCCTCTTGTCTCCCTCCTGAGTGCTGGCTTTACAGGTGTGCACCACCACACCTGGCTTGTTCCTGTTATCCTCAACTAATATCTGTAGCATTTATAATGTCTCATTTCTCATTTTTGGTACTGAATGTTTGTGCTTCTTTTTACTAATTTTATTATCTTTCAAATAATCAGTTTGAGGTGTAACAATCTTGTTTTCTGTTTTGCTAAGTTTTGCTAATAATTTTTTTCTCCTTTTCTGTTGTTTTGTTTTCTTTTTAAGCATTCTAAGTGGGTCCTTAACTCATTAATTGTTAGCATTTTTTTCCTAACATAAACATTTAAAGGTATAGATTTTGTCTGTGTAGTATACTATGTAACATAATACATTGATTTCATTGTTGTTTAACCAAAACATTTTCTGATTTCAGCAATTTCAAAAAAATTTAAACGTTGTTTGGTAGTCTGCTTGTTAATGTCTATTTTTTTTAAAACATATGACCTTTTTTCTACTTATCTTTTTGTTCTGATCTCTGTTACTGATTTCTAGGTTAATTGCCTGCAGACATACAGATGATTTAGCTCTTTGAATTTATTGAGACTTGTTTATGGCCCTAGGAAATAGATTTTTCTAAATGTTCTGTGAATGTTTGAGAAGAATGTATATTCTGCAAGTACTGGGTATAAATATCTTATTCAAAGCCAATAAATCGAGTTTGATATTTCAAATTAAATATATATCTACGATTTTAAAATCTACTTATTTAATTGTGTACTTACATGTGTTAAACTCCCCCTATGATTTAGTTACTTTTTTTGTGGTTCTCTAGTTACTGCTTTCTGTGTTTTCAATCTGTATTATTGAGTACACATTTTAAATGGCTCTTCCTAGTGAAATGAATTTTTGTCACTATGAAATAATGCTTATTAATGACAGTCTGTTGATATAGCTATATAACTCTTGAAAAGTTGGTGTCTTTTTTGTATGTTTTTGTTTGATACTTTTAGTACAATTACATTTAATGTAATTTCCTTTTTTTGCCTTTTGAATTATTCCATATTCAAATCTTCTCTTTTATTCATTTGGAAGTTTGTATTTGTTATTTAGTGATTATTTAAGACATAGAGTTGATCCTTTTCATCGTCAGAACTCTGTTAACTCCTTTTCCCACCCAACTTCATTCCCATAGAACTGAGAGAAGATGGTTTCCAGCCTCAGACTTACCTAGTACAGGGAGTGAAAGCACTGCATACTGCTTTAAAATTATGGATGAAAAAAGAAGTAAGTCGTTATTGTTCTTTTTTATACGATAAGGTTAAGAAAGAGCCCTTTTGCTGTGTTGGAAGCATTTATGAGTGCCAGTGGTAGAAAGAAAACCCTTCTTTAATATAGCTCACATTTTATTATATAGTATAATGTTCTTGGTTTTGGTTATATTTATGAGAATAAAGAAGTTACAGTTTTTTAAAATTTTTAATTTGTAAAAGAAAGTAATTCAAGTATTTAAGGAATAAACATGTAGATAGAGAATAATAATAAAGCACATTGAACTCTTAGACTGCACAGAGAAAGCACTGTGCGTAGTTTGCATGCATATGATCTCATTTAACCTTCAGAAATTGGTGATACTAGGATGGGAAGCTAGGGTCTGGGATGGCAGCTTCTTTCCCAGTCTGCTAGACTTGTAGAACATAAGGGAAAGGTGAGTGGCATCGTTCAAGCATGAGCTTTGCATTTGCAGGAAGTTGTTTGCCCTTTAGCTCCTCCACCTCCAAGAGGTCATCCTAGCCTGAAGTGCATCCCAAGCTTGTCTCAAAAAAACACAAAGGGCATCCCAAATTTTCATATGGAGTTACTGTTTTCTTCCCTTATACTTTGGGAACAAAATCTGTGCTAGCAGACTTCAAACTGATCATATAGAGTGATATCTGCATATTTCCTCCTCTAGGTATATGAGCAATGAGAAGAACAGTGACTATCTCATCTTTATTCCAACCCCATGGAGCTTTGCACATAATACTTACTATATATTTATGTTTTTAAGTGTAGGAAAATTTGGGGCTGGGGATTTAGCATAAGCGTCTGCCTTGCAAGCAGGCAGTCGTGAGTTCAATCCCCGGTACTGATAAAAAGGAAAAAGAAAAAAAAAAAAAAGTAGGAAAATTTATTGGAGAATAGGAATGGGGGAATGGAGAATAAGAATAGCTCTCGAGAGACAGGAGAGGTCACAAATGGGTTGCCAACAAACCCACCTCTCAAACAAAGTTTTATAGACCAAAATCATGAGGCAGGTATAAGGTGAGTCAAAATTATGATCAACCAATAGAATTGCAAGTATAGTTGCTTAGGTAATACTGATTTATAGGAGCAGGGGTACATGAGCGACATCATTAATTTTGGTCAATTTATAGTCTTAGTCTTGTCTTTAGTCTTAGCAATCTTAGTGGCTTAGTCTTAATAAGTGGGAGAGGATGGCCCACCCTTAATGAGATAATGGAAAATCTCAAAAGGGTGATACTAATAATCTCAAGCTTCCATTTATCCCTTTGGGAAGGATGTAAAACTAGTCCTTGTGACTTTAATCTTCAGCCACAGTCCTGATGCATTCCTATCTTCTGCAGTGACGCCCTTGAGCCCTGTCTGAATGCCTACTATATTTCTATCTAATTTAGCTGTCTCTAATATTCTCCCCTCTGAAGAGGTACCCTTAGCTATGGTTAGGGGAGAAAGGGTGTGGATTCCATCTAGCTGCTTTGAATTGAGAACCGTTGTTGTAGGGGAAACTGCAATTGGGGGCCTTCTCTAGAGAGCTAATCTAATAGGCCTCAGAAAGAAGTCCTGTTGTGTTTAGCAGTTATGAACTCTTTACAAGGTTGATCTAGTCAATTCCAGGAAAGGAGTCTGGCACATTTGTTGTTGGTTCCATCTAAATGATCACTTGGAGTTTGGTAGCGCTTGAATAGCAAGCATTTTGAAATATAAAGCTTAGCCAGAGAACTATTACTCCTTAGCAACTACAGTTGTTTTAGTAGTTGGATCCCTTCTTTCAGGTATCTCAGTGGGACCTCCAAAATGATATAGGAGAAATGCTAGGTATCAAATATGCTGAATTTGAGTCCCCTGAAATTGGAGAATGAACAGCAGAGGTTAAGGGTAGGAAAATTTATTGGAGAAAAGGAATGGGGAATAGTAATAGGTAGTTGGGGAATAGGATTATCTCTTGAGAAGGTTCTTTAATAAGTTTCATATTCTCATACTTCTTGACTGTTTATTTATTTTTAAATAAAAATTCTGCTCCTAAGAAATATTGAGAGATAGCCAGGCATGGTGGCTCATGCCTGTAATCTTAGCACTCGGAAGGCTGAGGCAGGAGGGTTGTTGCGAGTTGCAGCCTGGGCTATAAAGTGAGCTAAGGCCAACCTGAACTGCATAGTGAGACCCTGTCTCGAAAAGACCCAAAAAAAAAAAAAAAAAAAAAAATATATATATATATATATAATTATAAAAATATAAAATATATATATAATATATAATTATATGGAGACAATAATTAATAGGCTACAGTTCCAGTAATTTTATACTTTTTTTTAAATCATTGCCACCATTTGAGCAAGGCACTGTGGAAACATTCATAAAATAAAATCATGTCTTCCACTGTCAAAGACTTCATTATCCAAATGACAAGGAAAATCCTAAGCAAATTAACAACCATATGACTAAATAAAAATAAAATAAAGTGTATGTTATAAAAGTTTCATTTTCTGTTAGAGGTTTTAGGCAAGCAGTTCACAAATACATGCTTATGGACATTGCCTGTAGAGGTTTTAAAAATCCCTGTATCCTCCTCTAGAGAGTCCGCTTCAGTAGATCTGGGGCAGGTCTGATTCTAAAAACTTCATAGGCAATTTTGATGCATTCATGGTAAATTTGTTACCATCATTGAATTACTGTTAAGGTGTTACATTTGAGGTACATTTTTATTTTCTTTTATTATTTATTTTTATTTTATTGGTACCAGGGATCAAGCTCACAACCTTGGGCTTATACTGCTGAGCTAAATCTCCAGCCCCGAAGTGCATTTTTAAAATCATGTTCACATTTAACTGTTAAATTTGTTGTAAGTTAAAAAAAATAACAAAAATTTGTTGTAAGTTGAGAGGAAGCTCAACATAATGTTAAGAGGTTCTAGAATTAGATGTTAAGGTTCAGATCTCAGCTTTATTACTAATTAGCTGTGTGACACTTGATATATTACCTAACCTTTGTGGATCAGTTCCCTCAGTGGCAAAATGGGATTAATATACTGGTTGAGCATTTAAATTAGAGTATCTGAAATCCAAAGTGCTCTGAAATCTAGGACACTTCTGGTCCCAAGCATTTCAGATAAAGAAGGTTCAGTCTATAATATTTATGTCATACCATTATTGAAGAGGTTAAATAAATTAATACTCATAAATACTTGGCACATCAAAGCACAGAATTAGCCCCATTAATATAACTGTTGTTAATAATTTAACAAATTATGCTAATATCATATAGAAGTTCTTGAGTGTGCCTAAAAACCAAAATGTTATTTTTGTCTTTTTTGAGACAGGATCTTGCTATGCAGTTCAGGCTGTTTTTGAGCTCACTTTGTAGCCCAGGATTGCCTTGAATGTGCACCTATCCTCCTGCTTCAGCCTCCCAAGTACTGGGGTTACAAGTGTGCGGCACCATACCCAGTTTCAAAATGTTATTAGATACAGAGATAAATACTTGGAAATAGACATAAAAATCAATGAATATTTAACTCACCTGTTCCTCGTCCTTATAATGGGATTTTCTTCCTATTTTGCTTTTGACTATTAAAAAGTTTACTAAAATTATTCAAATTTTAAAAAATAAAATAATTCAAATTAGACTTCACATAGGAAACTAGGGTTAGATGCCTACATTTCCCATAAAAATTTTTTATATATTGTGATTTAAATGTTATGCTTAATTTATTAATTAATAGTTGTAGCTGGAAGTCAGTATGATTTGAAAGGTAGAGTGCAAGATTCTTAATGTAAAAGAAAATTAACTGTGAGACAAGTCAGTTTTTAACTCAGTCTGAGAGGGTTTCATGTAATAATGAGGTTCTCCTTTGAAGATGTCTTAATACCAACTCTGTGAACTCCGAGACTGGGCTTTCTGCTATCTGTGTATGTCTATAAAGGCTAGAGAACTCAAAAATGTATTCATTAAATTAGTTTTTGTATATTAAAATGTAAATAATTTTGGTTTTCTTATCTTTGTTAATACAGCTTGTATCTGAGCATGCCTTTGAAATTCCAGACAATGTTAGACCGGGGCATCTTATTAAGGAACTTTCTAAAGTAATTCGAGCAATAGAGGTAAGAAGAGAAGCTCATCTAAATGCTTGGGTACTCTCTGTCTTGAGAAGCAGATCCATCTTCCATCACTCTGAAGACTGAAAGAGTTGACACACTTAGAGCACCAGTGAGCTGAATTGCAGACAGACTCAGGTTTCCAGGCTTCTCAAGTCCTAGAAAGAAATTTAGAATATTATATTGTACTGAAGTACAAAATAGTAAGGAAGCAGGTACCAGGTTACTTCAGGTTAGTGGAGAAATAAAAAAATACAGGGCAATCAGTTCAGTTTTCGGATCCAATTAATGTCAGCTAATCAGAGATGAACATGTGTTAAGTAATTAGAACAAGAGAAAAACCAAGGTTAGGTGAAGCTGGGTTGGAAAGAAGGAAGATGCACGTGAATGAAAACCCTAGAGCAGCTGGCAAGGTGAATGCCTTTGATGGAGAGTGTTTGAATTTATTAATTAAGAGCTCTATTTAAGCAAAGATGGTTTTAATTAAAGTCATGTATTGTTTTTTAATTCAGTGAGGAATGGAGGCTAACCGAGAATTCTTTTTTTCCCAACTAGTAATTTAACATCTTACTTTAGGACTGTGTTTAAGGAATGGCAAGAGGTACATATCTAAGAAAAATTAAAGTGCTAGCTTTAGTACCCATGGTTAGGATAGTAATAGTTCATGTATTTTTTAGCTTCTGTGGAAAAAGTGATAGTAATTATGTGTAAATGGATTTAGTATAAAAAAAATCATCATAATCTCAAAATATAGATACAAAAATACAAGTGAATCTCATGCACAGTAACAACCAGAACTAAGTATAAACTCAACAAGAAAAGAGTGAGTCAGTGAAGAAAATTCTATGAATCTTTACTAAGGGAGGTAAAATACAAATTGATGGACATGTATGCTATGGCTGCAAGTGTGTCAAATCCGATATTACAGATTGAAAGTGGTGGGATAAACTACAAGAACCCTGGGACAGGCCCAGAGGACACGTAGGTCAGGGTGGATCAGGTGAATGAAAGGCTCTCTGTTTGTTATTTCCCTGGAATTAAATTTTATGTGGGTGTCTTATGTTTTATCTGGCAATTCTGTGTGGAAGGGATGTATTCAAAGAAAAACATAAATTTGGTGATTACCAGATATGTTTGAGTGGTTACCTTTTCTGAAGGCGAATTTAGGCAATAGTGATAAATAGAAAATGCACTGAGAGTTGAAATTAGAAAAGTATTTCAGCAAAACACACATTGCCAAAAACAGGAATATGTTTGAATTTTGGAGTATTTTAAGCATTTTGAAAGGGATTAATAGCAAAGAGCCAAAAAGACAAAAAAAAAAAAAATTCTCTTATTTAAATACTTACTATAGTTTTTATATGCCTCATTAAAATAAATATTTATGGCAGTATCTGTGAAGTAAAACATGCTGCTATGTCCTCACTCACCTTATTCACTGGGTCCAGCACTCTGAGACTTCTGGCTCTACTCAGAGGTCAAAATGACCAGGAAAGGGAAACCTGTAATTTGAGTCAGGACATCACGGCAGCCATGACAGTGCACCTAAAGACACCCAGGAAACAGGACTTCCAGAGCTGGTTCAGAAAGTGATAAGAACAAGAGAATAAGTATGTTGAAAAACTGGAGAAATATTTTGAGGGAAGGTAAATGGCAGTGTGCCTTCTACTGTGATAGATTTTTTTGAACAATTAAACATTTCTTATACTTTTTTGATCCTACTTCGTACATAGAAAGCAAAGGAGATGGAAAGTTAGGCAATTTTTTGTTTTGTTTAGAGAAAAAAAGCAAAACAGAAAAAATAGAAATAATGCAGAATTAAAATCACGTAGTTGATAAATTACATATTGTTATCTTAGAAGTAGTTGCTCAAGTTATGAAATCAAAGCATAAAAAATGAACAAACAGTGACAACACAAAGTATTCTGTTTGATGAACTAACAAAAAGTAATATGGTTATCTTGCACATTTATACATAGTTATATGTGTATACCTACAAGTTGTTTCCTTTCAAGCACTTTCCCTTTCATTATAACAATATCGGTTATACATTTTGGATCTTATTACTCTTTTAGTTTATTATTATTATTTATTTTTTACACTAGAGAGAATATGATATTTACAAATGTAAATCTGATTTATTTCACTTATGAGGATAATCTCAAGTTGAGTCAGACAATTTTTAACTCAAGGGAAAAATCAAAGGCCATATAAAAGTCAGGTATGGTGGCACATGCCTATAATTCCAGCATTCAGGAGGCTGAAGCAAGAAGATTAGTATGAGTTTGAGTCCAGTCTGGGATACATAGTAAGTTCAAGGCCAACCTGAACTACACAGAGACCCTGTCTCAAATAAACAAACACAATAAAAAAATCCAGAAACAAAATATGATAGGATATATAAAAGTAAAATATTGTAATAATATGTTACATGGTAGTGGGTATCCACAGTTTTCACTGAGTCCATTTAAATAATGTTTGAGGAAAGAACAGTGTAGAGGCAATGGTTTAGAAGGATGAGGGTTAAAAATTTATTTTACTGCGAGGTGCAGTGGCACACACCCGTATTCCAGCACTCGGGAGGCTGACGCAAGAATATCATTGCAAGTTCAAGACCAGCCTGGGCTATGCAGTGAGCTCCAGGCCAGCCTGAACTGTGATGTGAGACTGTTGTCTCAAAAAGACAAAACAAACAAACAAAAAAAAAAAAAAAACAAAAAACTTTTAATAGGAATCAGTAATATCTAAAGCTGAGAGCAGTCAAAACATGTTATTTGGAAATTTAGCGCAGTGGAAAGAAAACACAGTTGTAAGGTTTCCAAGAGCTTAGTATACACCTAGAATAATTAAGAGCAGATTCACAGATCTGTGCACACGATGTTCATAACAGCATTGTTCTCAGCGGCCAAAAGGAGGGAGCAACCCAAGGGTCTGGCAGTGGATAATGGCTGGACAAAGTGGGACATACTCAGTAATTACTAGAAGAAAATCCTGACACAATATAGGTGAACTTTAGGAGATGTTTTGCTAAGTGGAACATACTGGTCGCAAAAGGGCAGATAAGTGTATAGTGCCACTTATATGAGGTCCCATGAATTGTTGGATTCATAGAGACAGCAGAATAGTGCATAGGATGTGGTGGTGTTTTGCCTGTACTGCCAGTACTTAGGAAACTGAGGCAGGAGAATCTCTGTGAGTTTGAGACCAGCCTGGGCTGTACAGTGAGTGACACCCTATCTCAAAAAACAAAAAGAGAAGAAAACAAGCTTAACAGAGGTTGTTTTTATATCAAGGTAGATTTTGAACCGTTAAAATGTTTGTTTTGTTTTGTTTAGAGACAGGGTTTCAAGGTCAGTTCAATCCACCTTGAACTCACTTTGTAGCCCAGGCTGGCCTCAAACTCTCAGTGTTCCTTCTGCCTCAGTCTCCCATGTGCTGGGATTACAGGTGTGCACCACCACGCCCAGTGAGTCATTAAAATATTTAGTAAAAGTTTGAAATGCTAACTAAATCTGTAGGCTTCATTTTTTCTAGAGGGTAACAGCATTGCCATAATTGCTTTGGGTCTGCTGTTCCTCTGCTGTTGTCCATCTTTAGTATATTGAAAGGTGGAAAAATAAGAAACCTCAAGTGTGTGGCTGATTTTAAAAGTATTGATTTAGGCAGATATGTGTGGCCTATGTGAAGACTTTCACAGGAAAGAACTGGAGTGGAATGTGATAGCCCTTAATCTGATACTGAAAATTAAGTAAATATGTTTTAGTTGGGTGTTATATAATAGTCTCATTATAAAACATATCCTGAATTTAATTCTTAAAGGAAGAAAACAGCAAACCAGTTAAATCTCAGGGAATTCCTACTGTGTGTCCAGTTGCACGGTCCTCAAATGAAGCAACTTCCCCCTACCATTCCCGACGGAAGATGAGGAAGCTCCGGGATCACAATGTCCGAACACCTTCCAACCTGGACATCCTGGAGCTCCACACGAGGGAAGTCCTCAAGAGATTGGAGATGTGCCCATGGGAAGAGGCAAGTAGTGTGTTTCCTGACGAGAAGACAAAGTGGGCTGTCACTGAGTTCGTCAAAGGGTAGCCACAGTTCCATGCTGTGTGTTCTTCTTACCTGACCTTTGCTGGAGAATTGCAGGAGTCAGCCAGTACTTAGGCCTGGACGGGGCAGGGAGCCTGATCGCACCAAGCCTTAGCTGATGTGTTTCCCTGAGTGTTCACAGTACCAGGAGATTGAGTCTGCTCTGGAAAAGACACCAGTTCGAGCAGAACTCAGGGCCCTGCCTTGTGAGCGTTCATGGGAAGGCAGAGAAGACAGGTACCAAACGGTATCATTTCTGGCAGTGGGTGTTCAGAGCACAAGAGCAGTGGGAAAAAGTGTCAGAGAGCCTTTCAGTGGTGACAGTTGAACTGACACTTTAGCAGTGGGACCAAGTCAGCTGGCTACAGAGCTATGAGGAAGGACACAGGCAGAGGAAGAGCAGACTCAGAAAGCCCATCCTGGGGCCGGCAGTGCCAGTCTGGCCATTCTGGGCCTGCGGACTCTCAGAATCAATCTGTTGGAGTCAAGCACTGGTGCTAAGTGCGGGATGCATGGGAGTAGGGTGAATCAGTGTGCAGCAGCTTGGCAAAGACGGTGTGAGTTTGCAAGATCCGTGTCCAGGCAGAGTAGGAGCGGGACTCTGACGTGAGTAAGACAGAGGTAGCCCTGGATGAAAATTTAAGGTCCCACAGTCATAACCTTCTTAGTGTCTTAAATTTGATATAATTATCCCCCAAAATGTGTTGTTCTAAACATAACCCGTAGCAGTCTGGAAAAGATTTAGCTTATGAAAGGTTCTGTTTATTAAGGAAAAGATCATCCTAAAAAGGAAATACTTTGAATATATTAAAAAGTAGCTCCTGTTGTCCCTTTGTGTCATATGGTGGCCACTGTGGCTAGTAACAGCAGGGAAGCTCTTGACAGTGTCTTATGGGACTATGAGGTCAGGGTGCGTGGGAAGCCTGGAGGCATATTCCATACTTCTCGGCAATGGGAAGAAGCCAAGAAAGAGCACACAGATACTTGAAGCAGTGTTGTTCCAGCTTTCAGCCTGTGAGACTGATCTTTCTTTGATTTGCTTTCTGCAGGCTTTTGTATTCTGCTTTGCAGAAGGTATTTTATTGCTGATGGCCCTTCTGAAAGACATTGGTCTTCACTCTTTGACCTTAGGGCCTCTTGCAGACAAGGCAGGGCTGAGAGCAAGGGGGAGCACTGTCCTAGGTACTCCTGAGGGTAGAGGATAAGTCAGTTCTGTTTTCATACTTTAAGGACACACTGAGCTCAAAACTGAATGGAAAATTCAACAAACATCTCCAACCATCTTCCACGGTACCTGAATGGAGAGCAAAAGATAATGATCTGCGATTACTGTTGACGAATGGAAGAATAATTAAGTATGTAATTTTCAGTGGATTCCCTTGCTCATTTAACCTAATCCATGGTGTTGCACACTGTCAGACGGGGAAGTTCTCAGTTCTTTACTGTGTGAGTGAAGAGGGAAGTGCACACATAGCCTATATGACTTCTGACTCACTTACTTTGCCCATGCTGCAGAGATGAGAGGCAGCCCTTCGCAGATCAGAGTCTTTATACAGCAGACAGTGAGAGTGAAGACGATAAGAGAAGGACAAGGAAGGCCAACATGAAAACAGAAGCGAGTTCAGAAATAGAGGGGACGGAAAGGGAAGAACCTCCGAAACCACTCAACAGTATGTTTGTTGTAATGGTCATTTCAAAGTTCTGTTCTTTATTAATGTGACAGTGGGTAAAGAAATTTGCTACTTTGAAAATTCTTAAATTTGTATAACAATTACAAATACAGTGTTGAAAACTCTGAAGTCTGTCTTTGTAGCTCTCCCATCAGGGAAGTAATGAATGTGAATACCATGTGCAGTATCTTGGCCAGGGAGGTACAGGACCAGTGAAATCCAACTCTAGTTCATTTTTAAAAAGTCTCCTGAAAGCTCCTACATTTTATGGTCTTATGGCCTCTACACTCAAAATTAAATTTCAAATGTAATTAATTTCATGTATATTTTTTGGTATCAGGTATATGGTTTTCAAAATTAGGATATGCCCTGGGTGTGGTAGCGCGTACTTGTAATCCCAGCACTTGGGATGCTAAGGCAGGAGGATCCTTTTAAGTTCAAGGACAGCCTGAGATAGAAAGTGAGCTCAGGGCCAGCCCGAACTGCATAGTGAGACCCTGTCTCAAAAAGACCAAAGCAAGGGCTGGGGGTTTAGCTCAGCGGCTTAAGTGCTTGCCTGGCAAGTTCAAGGTCATGAGTTCAATCCCTGGTACCCCCCCCCCAAAAAAAAAAGACCAAAACAGAATTAGGATATATATGATCTGGCTGATCAGAAACTATTAGGAATCTGCATGCTGAGGCTGCACTTGACTGTTGACAAGAATGTCTCTACTGGATTGTTAGTTGGGTGTCATCAAATAAAATTAGTAAAATTAGATAGCATACTAATACCTCCCTTTCCTTGAGAGTTTTCATCCTTTTCAACATTTTCAAGACCTCCATATACCCTTCTATTATAAAAATAGTTAAATATTTTAGTAGTTTGGATGAGTACATATTGCAGGAGATAAATATTATTGCATTCATGTTGAATTCCTCAATTCTTGCTAATTTCAAGTACTATAAGTTTGGTATTCATAGTTGGTTGATTCTACAGCTTGGGAAAATGCAGCTCACTAGCAGAACTGGGGTAACAATTGCTGTGTGGCAGTGCCAGGTGGGAAAGATCATGTAAGCTTGCCGAACTCACGATGTCTATGAGGGCATTTAGAAGAGTTATCTTTTTATTTTCTTTTTTTTTATCGTTTTATTTTCTATTAAGAAAACCTACACAAAAGTAAAAAGCATTTTGCAGCTAGGGTCTCTTATACCTCCAACCCTAATGTTAGTTTTGAAGGCTGTTTTCTGGAAGGAAACAAAGTCAACCCACTGAGAATGTATAATCGTACTCAGTAACTCCCACAAAGTTTTCAGAACATACTTAAGCCTATAACTTGGCTAATTAGGGAGAGACCTTGGGACAAATCAAAGGGAGACAATAATATCAGTGCAAAGGAAGGTTAGGATGGAGATTGAGAGGCATCACAAAGCTGGGTAGACCAGAGAGATCGCCTTGTCATCTTATTCATAAAGTTCTAATTAATGACTTTGTCTTTTTGCCTTCTTTCATCTTCATCAGGGCTTTTTACAAGTGTGAAGTCAGAACTCAGGAGCAGATCATCAGAATATTCTGATATTTCTGATTCAGAAGACTCGGGACCTGATTGCACTGCACTGGTATGCTCCCAGCTCTGTGACGTGTGTGTCACTTGAGGGGAAGGTGAATGCTCACGTATCTTCACCTGGGAGGACAGCACACAGCAGGTCTCCCAGAGCGTGGCTCTGACTGTGCAGCACAAGGTCTTCCTGGAGTGATGATCGCATGTGCACACTGCTTTCTGCCATTCACCAGATTAACAAGAAGAGATGCTTCTGTGTATACTATTGTTATATTGCACATATTTCTTACAGGTTATATTTTACCTACAGAAAGACTGTACTGTGTATTTTTAATTCAGGTAGTATGTTATGGTAGTTACCAAAGATTTTCTTTCTTTCTTTCTTTCTTTTTTTTTTTTTTTTTTTTTTGACTTTTTGAGACAGGGTCTCGCTATGTAGTTCAGGCTGGCCTTGAGCTCACTTTGTATCCCAGGCTGGTCTCAAACTCACAACAATCCTCCTGCCTCACCAAAGATTTTCTATGAAACTGCAAACCAATTCCATGATAATTAAGATTGACTTTTCCTAGATAGTCTTTTTTGATTAATTTGTATAGCCTTGTCCAATTTCTTACATAGCTTTGTTTCCATTTAAATATTTATTATTGCAGAAAATTAATTTTACCACTGAAGAATCTGAAAGTTCAGGTGATGAAAAGAAACAAGAAGTAACATCAAACTTTAAGGAGGAATCTAATGCAATGAAGAACTTCCTTCAGAAGAGCCAGAAGCCATCTAGAAGTGAAATTCCAGTTAAAAGGTGGGTTTATTAGTGGTAGCAATTGTTTAATATTGTGGTGTAGATGTTATGAAAACTTGTTTTAAATTTTACTAAATGTATCATCAGAAAAAATAAACCCTTGCCTTTTTGGCTCACCTGTCCCTTAGGGAGTGTCCTACCTCGACAAGCACAGAGGAAGAAGCTATTCAGGGCATGCTGTCCATGGCAGGGTTGCACTATTCCACATGTTTACAAAGGCAAATGCAAAGCACAGACTGCAGTGGTGCAAGGAACTCTCCCGAAGATCCCAGCAGCTGCCCCAGCAGTAACCATGAGGTTAGGCAGTCATATCGCTATGATAAACCAGTGGAATGCGGTAAGAAACATAAATTAACAGTGCCTGAAAAGTAGCATGACCCACAACTTTTACTAGTGTTGTAATTCTAGTTTAGGTTAAGGATTATACAAATAAGGACTATTTTATTATACATGAGATGACAGGCATCAGAACTAAAAACATAAATTACCTGGAACTAAGAACTGTGTTCAGTGGCAGAGTTCTACCACTGCTCTCACAAAACAGTGGTGTTTCCCTTTAATTAGCAGCTTAGCAGCTTGACCAGAAGGAAAGGATGTTCCAGCCTCCTAAATGGTGTGCTAAGCCAGAAAATTCAACTCTTTTTTTTCCTTTTATAAGAGGGAAAACAAGTTTTGAATGGTTTCTTCTTGGTGATAGTATTCTTTCTCCTTAAAAAGAAAGCATTAGAAAAGAACTGATTCAGTGGCATATCAGTGTTCCCACATAGTGTTTTCATCTCTGTGTCTTTGGAGAAAAATTGCTTCCCCAGAAGTATGAAGATTGGGGAGAAGATACTACTACATTGAAACTGAATGCCTATGTAACATTTGCAGTCAGTTCTACATGATTAAAGGTCAGCTTTATGTTAGAAACTTGATACCCATTTTACTTAATTTTTGAAACATAGTGTCTCAGTGTTATCCCATTTTACAGGTAAAAGAAGACTTAGTGAAATTAATTTAACTTGTCTGCACTTTACACAGCTCTTACTCAATGCTGTTGGGATTTGAACCCAGAATGATCTGATCCCAAAGTCTTTGCCTATTTTGTAAGAGGAAACTGAAGTTTGGAAGGAATAAATAACTTGCCTCAAGTTGCATTAGTAATGAAACAAATAAAATAGAAATCTAAGTTTACCTGTCTTTCTAATACTCTCAGTTGATCCTTGTGTAACAGTTTTGTTACTTAAAAAGAGAAGAGTTTTATGGAAATTCATGCAGGCGTCTGCCTTTATTCTATGTAGGAAAATGTGCCAATATTAGAGTATATTGTGTTTGGTTTCACATACGCAGGGTCGTAGGGTTTGCCTCCTGATCTCCCAGCATCTGGCCCAAAACCTGTGTATAAAAGAAGCTGAGAGAAACAGCAGGTTCACTGTGAGCAGCCAATTTTTGAGAGGAAAAAGAGTGTAGTGAAATTAAGGTATATGAGGGTTTAAGGGTGCAGCTCAGCAGCACAACACCTGCCTCCCAAGCTCACGGTCCTGGGTTCAATTCCCAGTACAAAAAAAAAGGTATGTGAAGAAAATGTAAAGAGTTAATATGTTTCTAAACAAAATGTCAAAATAAAATTGCTTTCAGTTTCAAGCATTAGGCTAATTTTGTTCTTTAATATCAAGTTTGTGTGGATTAAAATGAATTAAAATGTCTCTAGGATATCATGTGAAGACTGAAGAGCAAGACTTGAGGACCTCTTCTTGGATTAAACAGATTGATAGAACTTCCAAATTTAATCCTCAGGTATATTTAGAGATTAAAACTTTTAAAAACTTTTAAATTTTTTTTTGTTTTTTTTTTGAGACAAGGGCTCACTATGTAGTTTAGTCTGGCTTCAAACTTGTGATCTTCCTGCCTCAGCTTCCCAAGTGCCTGATTACAGGCCTTAGAGGTTGAATAATTAAAAGGAAATTAGAATTGTTAACTTTATTTTTACTTTCTGTTTAATTTATAGCTGGTTGTCCACTGCTATATCTAGGAAACTAAAAAGTTACAATTCAGTGCACATTTGAACAGCAATACATTTTAGGAATTCTGACTACTGCAAGGTTCAGGATGGAGTGTGAGCTGGAGAGGGCCTTCGTCAGGACTGTAGGGAAACCCCTAGCTGTGGGCACCTCGAGATTGCACCTTGGTAGAATGAAAAGTGCAAGCAGAAACATTTCCTTTTTAACCTCTGACATTGTCTTTTAAGAGAAGAAACTCAGCGTCTTAGGATCCCAGCATATTAATAAATGCTCATACCACACAAAATAAACCCAAAATGGCATTTTTTAAAAAGCTAAAACTTGGGGCTGGGGATTTAGCTCAGCAGCATAAATGCCTGTCTGGCAAATGTGAGGATGTGAGTTCGATCCCTGGTGCCTAAAAATGCTAAAGCTTTACCAGCAGCACCAGCCAAAGAAAATGATAGGACCTTTTATTGCAAACCTTGGAAAGTGGGAGCCAAAGAAAGAATCAGCATTCTTCTTTTTTTTTTTTTTCCAAATTCCGTTTTATTTCCAGGATAAAAAGAGCAGGAGGAGAAAGAAGAAAACTACACAACACAAACATGTCAAATGAGGCAACAATAGTACATACAGAATCAGCATTCTTACATAGCAGAATTAGACTCCCCAGCCTAAGCACATGTAGGGAAAGTAAATCAGCAGAAGCAAAAGTCCTTGGCTGCTTCTGTCTTAGAATTCAAACCCAGAGTGAGTCTGAAGAAACACTGGGGGAGAGCGAGAGGAGGAGACCTGAGTAGCCGGTTTAAGAAAGAGGGGCTTGCACATGAAATTGGCACTGGAGGATTCAGTACGAAAATAAACTGTATGGCCGTTGTTTCTGTAATTGTCTTTGAACCTAGAGATGCAGAACATACGTGATTAGTAGAATCACAGCAGAGAAAACTAAATTTCTTTTGTCTGATCTAGAGTGTGTTATAGTGGCACGTCACATCAGCACTTGTTTGTTCATGCTCATGAATATTTATTTGTAAGACTAAGTCAGGTCTATGTTTAATGCTGGTTTTGCAACTGATTATGACAGAGATATATTTACATCTCTCTCCCACACACACAAGTTAAATTAGTTAACAGTGTGCTCTGTTCATACCTATTATCCCTGTCTATCTCTCTCTCTTTTGGCCAGTGCTATGGATTGAATCCAGGGCCTCATGCATGGCAAGCACAGTGCTACTGAGCTATATCCTTAGTCCCTATTCATTTCCCTTTTTAATTCTGGTCATGACCCTATCATCAGTTGATGTAAGACTCATACATCAGGTGTATTTTTTCCCCTGAAATTTGACTCAGTAGTCTTTGAAGACTGGAAAAGGAGTTGTGTTTCAAGAAAAATCAGGTTTGGAGCTGAATGTGGTGGCACATACCTCTAATTCCAGCATTTGGGAGGCTGAGGCAGGAAAATTGCCATTAGTTTGAGGCCTAATCCATGTTCAGAAAACCCAAATTTAGAGTTTATTTCCTTTCTCTCTTGACTTTGCCAGTGCAGAGAGAGCTTAAACATGCATTAAACCTAAAAATCCAGCTTCATTTCCTTACTTCTTCAGGATCTAAACAGAAACCAGAAATGCATCAAAAAGGAAGGTTCATCAGAAGCAAGTCAGAAGGTGCAAAGTAGAAACTGTATGGAGAGCAGTGGCACAGGCCTTCTGAGTGGAAACTGTGCACAGAATTCCGGTGTGGCTGCAGGCATGTGCCAGATGAACAGCGGCAGTGTGAGCCCAGAGCGGCCAGCTGGAGAACCCTCCTTTTCAGTGCCCCTTCACCCCACCAAGAGACCTGCTTCAAATCCACCACCTGTTAGCAACCAGGCAACAAAAGGTAACTGGAACCCACTGTAGTGTCTTTCCTTGATATGTGATGGCAGTACAGTCTCTCTGTACTGTTGCTCAACATCTTGTGCCGATGGGATGGCCTTTTAATAGCGGTGCATGCCCATTACTAGGAGTGTCAAACTGAAAGATGCCCAGATGGCTTCCTGGGACTCAGGAGGAGACGGAGCATGAAACAGGACAGGACAGTAAGATGAGCGCCTTAACAGAACAGACAGCAGTACAGGTCCAGCTGAGAGCGTGGACCCCACACCCAGAGGCAGTCATTTGTGCTGCCGCAGCATTGTATATGAGGCTGGCTCCACTGCTGGGGTGAGCAGAGGAAGGAGTTTTACACAGTGGCCGACCAGAAGTGTGGCTTGGATATGCAGTGTGCTGCACAGGCTTCCTTCCTAAATCTTTCTGGTGCTGTCTGGAGGGTATGCTTTGCATTATTACTTACCATGGTGTTATGTTTTGTAGGCAAACGTCCAAAAAAAGGAATGGCAACAGCCAAGCAGCGTCTTGGGAAGATCCTTAAGTTGAACAGAAATGGCCACGCACGCTTCTTTGTGTGAATGAGCTGCTGTGGCGGCTGCGCCTCCCTTTGGAGCAGTGTGGGGCAGGAGCCTGGAGCTTTTGCCACCCCTGCCTGGAGCTGTTGGCGCGTACAGGAAGAACACTGCCTGAAGAGCAGAGCGACCCTGATGCTGCATCTTCACTGTGCCACACCCACTCAGCAATAACCCTTTGGACCTGGTGGGGAGAGAGAGGAGGGTAGAACCTTAAAAAGAGACCTTGAACTGGAAAGGGTCTCTTGTCAGGGCTTGAATTTCATTTTGTTGTTGGTAGCATCTTGATTTATTTTCAGTAGTAGGGTAAAGAATTATCAATAATTTATTTAACAGATTTTTTTAAAGTTAACAGCTTTTAAATTTTTCTTTTTTAAAGCTATTTATTTGGAAGATTTCTGGAGAAATATCTCACTAATTTAGATTTAAGAATGTGAAGGTTTTTAAATTATTTTTGATAGTGTGTGTGTTACATGTGGGGAAGAGCCACGGTAACAGTAACTAGTCTGGACTCTTAAATTTGATATTCAGGTTAAAGTCTTAAACAGGGATTTGATGCATTAATTATTTTAAATTAAGATGTATATGAAAATCATTTTATTTTATATATTTCATGTGTTTTTTATAAGCTATTAGCTTCGCTTTTGCTAACATCCAAGGTGCATACTGTTATCCAGGTTGATTCCCTTACACCCCTCCCTCTACATCCCTCATTTTGTGATGACCCAACAAGATTCTTCTCTTTGCAGGGAAATACTTGCATAGCCAATGGCTAAGAGCTCCATAAAAGACCCCACATCACTCATTTTCTTTGACAGTGTGGTTTTCTTCTAAATATAAGGAAATAGGCTTCTTCTTGCATTTTCATTTTTGCTGATATCTGGGTCCCAAAGAGAACAGCTTTAATATCTTCTTCCTACTTGTGGGGAAAGTATTATAAGTTTGGTTAAATGTCACGTTTCTAGTTTTTAAAGTACATTGTAAGTACAGAGGGCCTTCTTCAGACTGCTGGTGTTGGAGGACAGGGCCAACACCTGCTGCAAGGATTATATTTTTTGATGCTTTTATTTGCTAATCCTAATCTGTTGAGAAGTATGATTTGATTTAGGTTATTCAAATCTTCATAGTAAGCCGTAATACAATAGGATTATACTATATTAAGTTGTATAGAAGCAAGCATGTTGGAATAGATCTTGTGTATGTGTTTACTTTTTTATTTCTGAACATTTTAAGGAATTATTTCACATAAGAATTTGGAGTAAAATGGATGCTTATTGCATTTATTTCCATCTATCTTAACTTGGCCAGTACATACTGAGATTAAGGATCAGGTTGAACTTTAAGGTAATCGTTTATCTCCTTTATGTACAATTTTTACTGAATGGCAGTTTTTGGTTGCTTGTAAGAATTTTTGTTTTCCCTTTTCCATCTCATGATGTAAAAGTTAATGACTGCTGAGGGTGAGGTGGAAATTTTCCCAAGTCTAAATATGTAGCATTTAAAAAATTCCTACGAAGACAAATATGATGAAATTTATTTTTATGGAGAAGAAATATGGCCGTATAATGCAGCATTTGTCTTTTTTTTTTTTTTAACTTGGGATTTTCCGTCTGTATTAAGTATCACTTAAATTGTTAAGAAAAAAGAATCTATACGATCATCTTTCATGGTTGTAATTGCCAAAGAGGAGTATTACTCTGTCTTTTCCAGGTTTCATGGCATAACTATGAAAGAGCTAATGAATTAGCCTTTTAGTCCAATACTCTAGGTTTTATTTGAGTATCAGGAAGAATAATTTTATGGAAATCTTCAGTATCTGTGAACAGCCTACTTAAACTCCATCTACATGATTCTGTAACTAGTGGAGATATCTCAAGGTGCAAATACTTAGATTTGACAGATGCCCTAACCTTCTCACACACTATATCACTGTGATGTCTTGGTTTTCTATAGACCATGTTCTAATGGGTCTATAGTGATCCATAATGGATTTAAGAAATAACTGTAATTTTTTTTTCTAGTGACATCATGATCTAGATTTTTTTCTTTACATTTTTCACAACTCTTAAGTGTCTTTACTTTTTTCTTTAGCTATATAATTAGAACAATTTATTTTTATGAATTAAAATTTTGGCTGGTAGCCATCTTGTGTCCTAAGACTGATAAAACACTAATTTTGAGTATCCAGTATGTGGAATTTTTAAGTGAAAGTATTGTGGATTCATTGTTTGGCAGTTTTAGTCCATTAACTGGCTAAGTTACAAAACTTTCACCAAGGTACTACAACCACTAGAAGAAAATACATGTGTCTTTTCTGAATTGGAAAAAATTCAACCATTTGATCCAGTGACTTCTAATCAAACCTCATAAACTTACCCATGGTGATGCTTCCATTTATCTCATAGAGGTGGCTGGACTTTGAGGTAACTACTGCCAGTAAGTGGGCTCAGCTGTAAACGTAACATTTTGTCTTTTCCTTCGTCTCACTTATAAACCACATAACAACTTAGGAAGACAGCAGTGATAGTGTTTACCTAGTCATAAGCAAATGCAGTTATGTAAAATTGAAAATAATAATTTAAAGTATGCAACTTTAATGATAATAGTAGTTTTCCTATTATTGATTCAAGTAAGTAACTCAACCTGGAATCCTCTGTACTGTAATTCACAACATCATATAACGTTATACTCCCCAGTATTGATGAATGATGTAAAAATACAAAGTTAGCAGTTTATAGTAGAGTTCAGTATCCTAGAAATACTTGGGACCTCGTGAGTCCAGTTCATTTTTGAACCATAAAACATTGAATATTCTGACAGAAACCGTAACTCAGAGAGGAGACAAGCCCACCTTTATCAGTACTTAGCTCAAATACTGTTCTATTTTTTTAATAATCCTAATGATTGCCTTTTAAAAACTAAACTCTTGCTATTTTTACTCATATGGAATAGCAGGTATTTACCAGATACGAGCCTCTAGCACCAGGTAGTGCTGTAGTTGCAGTTCTGTTCTCTGCCCATAAAAGGCTTCTCCAGGAAGTTAGCAGTATTATTTTTACTTCTAAGCAAACTTCAGCAGAAGAGAGCCTATTGGGAAAAAAAAGCATCACTTGATTAGTTTCAGCTGAAATATACCACTGTAGAAGTAGAAATAAAAGAGATCTAAGTTCTTTAAATTTTAACAAACATTTCATAAGTTAATAACTTTCTGTCGGTGACATGAGGATCTCTTTAGCACAGAAGGAAGCAAAAGACATGTTTTGGTCCAAGTTATACCATTTATGTGTCAGTTGTGTGACCTGTATGCAACTTATGTCACTTACTTTCTGAGTCTGAGTTTCCTTATTTTTAAGTTTGGACAAAACTGCTTATTTTACTCTCCAGTGAAAAAAAGCATTTCTTAATCTAGTAACACTTCATAGTTACACATAATTTATCATTAAAACTGATGAATGCACATTTACATACATTTTAAGTGAAAATTGCTATTATTCATAAAACATTTCATTTCAAATATATATATATGCAGGGCATGCTACCTAAAAATCTGATGAATCTCTAACAAGGTGCTGAATTGAAGTTGGATTCCACACTTCAAGTAAAAGAAGTGAGCAGTTTTATGGGTAGTGAGTGGGAATGTTCATCCCCAAACACATGAAGATAATTCAGAGTAACTGAAAGTACTTTAGGTTTTTCTCAAAGAGAAATTAGGATGGTGCTGCTCCCCAGATTTGACATATTCTTCAGGTCCTAGGTAGAGTGAAGTCAGCCATGGGATGGGATTGATTAAACAGCCACTCAGACCAGGAAAAATTAAGAGTGGTCAACAAATGGACTCCACAGAGACTGTTCTGGGATGGGTGACGGAGGCATAGGCAGAGAGCTCACTTGAACAGAGGAGGGAAGGAGACTCGGTTGGATGTCTCCCATAGATGCCTGTGACAGTGACAAGACTGCTCCCTGAGAGTGACCCACTGTGCAGCTGCTAGAAGTGAATGTTCTAGCAATGAGTGTAGTTTCCACATGGAGAGACAGGGCCTTCCTAATATAAATTTAAACATCTTTAAAAGTTTGTCTTTCTCATGAAATAGTAACCAAATCCCTTCCTATGGTAAGAGAAGCTCTTGCCCAGCAGGCAGAGGCCCTGGATCTGAGCCCCATATAGGTGGAGTGGAGTGGGTACAGTGCCAGTCCTGTCTTTATGAGCTACTTCTTCACCAGAAGCAATCTCAAAGCCAAGTATCACAACCTTTAGCCTAAAGCAAGGTAGTGAATAAAGTGTAAACCAAGTAGGGCAGTGATTTACCGAGGACACAGTGGACTAAGACCTCTGATATCTTGCTTCCTAAGACAGCCCCTGTTGCGTGATGCTGCAGCCTCTGCCTGTAGTGAACAGGTCCATGTGCTTCCTTAAAGGTAGGTGCAAGAGGGCAGCACTCCACACTCACTGTAAGTCGTTGGTGAATATAATCTTAATACTAAATAGCCTTATTGAAAACCCTTCCCTTAGTTTTTCAGTGATTACACTGTAAGTCAAATACTTGATATGCTTTACATGAATACTTTTAAACAGGTAATATCCTTAAGCAAATGCCCATTTCCAAAGCAATTAATTTATTTTGATTGATTTTATTCTTCTGTAGTCATCCCTTCTCTTCACTGAGGAGGAGAAAATGATAGTCCCTTGAGTTAGATTCTCCCTTTCACCTTGGTGCCCCTCTAATGTCTTAAGGCTTTGTCTCAACAAGTGCAGCCTTACATTTTTTGTTCAAACCTTTTTCAAACTATTCAGTGACTCTTCCAACAAACTTACCTGCTCTGCACTATTTCAATAATAAACCCTGGCTACCAAGTAGCCCATGACCTCCAAGCAGTTTACCTATGCAAGAACCACGACAGTCTGAATTCACTTTGCTTTATTTCAGGAAGCAGTTATACGTAGAACTTAATCACAGAAAATTTGTTTTCACCAGTTTTATTTTGGTCACTTCCTCTTCAATATATCAGTTACTTTTCCCCAAGATTTCTCACCAAAACAATGATCATAAGTGCTAGAATATATAATGTTTTGCAGGAGTAAAATAACCCTCACGTACCTACTTATATTTTTTTGATGGATTTTGGTTGGTAAAAGTTACCAGCATTAAATATAAATATATAATAAGGAGTTGATTCCTTGCCTAGAGTCATTTCTTCCCTCTAAGCTTCATAAGTAACGTTTTATTTTTACAAACCATACATACAACTTCCACATTATAGTCAGGGACCTAAGGTGTAACTTGCTAAGTGAACCCCAAGGTTATTTTATCTTGCAAAAGAAACCTAAACCAAACTAAGGGCCTTACAGTTTATGGTTAGACTGAATCAAAAGCTATATAACCTCAGTTTTTCCAAAAACAGCTGCTGACTTCAAAAGCAAGTCACGCAGTTGTTACATATGAAATAGCACTGACCAGGAAATGCACATGCATCTTCGCAGGCTGTATTTCCCTCAGAAAAGACTTTTCTACTTTTAATATAAATTAAAGCCATAACAGTTTCATGCTGTAGAAAGAGGGTGAAAAGGTTCATGTTAAGAGATTATATAATATGAATTTTCACATTACTGTGAAATGTCTAACTTTACCAGTGCTTCAGCAAGTTTTCTTTTGGATGTTGGGGGGTTAGTGTTGGGAAGGGGGAGTATTGGTTTTAGGGTTTTAACTGTGAACTTTGAAAAGGGGACAGTTGTTGGCTATGGTATTTACTAGTTTTGTAGTAATGTTTTGCTAGCCTGACTGACTTTCCTTACTGGTCTTTTATGCCCATGGTCCCAGGTAACTGTTGCCTTCTCATTGGGGGTGTCTGTGGGGTAGTGTCTAATCTGTGTGTAGGCCGCCAGTGTGTGTGCACATGTGTGTCCTTTGAGTACAGAAGCACACGTGTGACAGTGGAACGGAGCATGGCTGGGGAGTGGGATGCGGAAGCTTTAAGAGCATTTTTTTCTGATTCATGACAGTATTTCCCATCTTTTGCCTGCAGGCAGGGAAAGTGTACAGTATTTATTTTGTTTCTGTTTTACCCAATTTGTAAGTCTTTAAGTAGCTTACATTGATTATTATAGAAGACAAGTGACTTGTTTAAAGTTGTATTTAGTATTCTTTTCGATTTATGTACTTTAAAATACTGAAATTAAAATTGTATTACTTCTGTTTTGATTTTTTTAGCACTCAGTGTATTTTTTGCTCATTTTGTTTGAAAGTATTAATGTTGAAAGTTGTACAAAATTTGTCTCTGAAAGAAAAAAATCTGAATTCTATATCCAGTTCTGACTTTCTGCTCCCTTTTTCTGCTTGTTAAATTATCTGAGAATGTGAAAAGCTGTGTTCAGCTCCTTACCACTTGAGCTTTAAAAGTAATGCGCCGCCTTACTTCCTGAGATGTATGGGAGGGTGGTGCAGAAAGACAGAGAAGGGTGATTGGGAAGGTGAGGCTGGGCCTCGGAGATGGGCTTGTGCGCTTATGTCAGCCCTGTGCTGGTCTGCCGAAGCAAGCAGTCAAGCCTACACCTTTGGGCTTGTACACCATGGAAAGAGCAAAGGAATGGGAGGCTGAGCACAAGGATCATGTGTTCAAGCTCAGTATGAGCAGCTTAGCGAGACCCTGTCTCAAAAAACAAAAGGGGAGGGCTGGAGCCCTTGTTCAGTCCCCAGGATCACAGTTGTGTGCTGTGTGGCAGGGGGAGTGGGGCCAGGAGCTTTCGTGGTCCAGCTGCACAGTGAGGTGGAGAGCGTAAGTGAGCACTGAGTGAGCAGGTAGGCCAAGTTTTGGACGCAGGTCTGGGATAGATCAGGGAAAGATGGGCGAGGCTAAGCTCTGGTATTCAGACTGGGATAGGGCTCCTGGGCCACAAAGGAACACTGGGCAGGCACACTCCCCAAGCTGCCAGGAAGCCTCAGAGAGAGATGGGAAGTGGTTGGGACTCTGGAGGAGACCGCAACCTCACAGATACCAGGCAGCAGAAGCCCCAGACACCAGCTCTTTCCCCAGCCCCACGTGAGAGTAGGGGTGCCAGAGCCCTGCAGCTGCTCTCATGGTAGCACGAAGACAACTGGCACCTCCCCTTTTTCCAGCTGTCTGTTTGTGTATGTGTGACACAAACGGCTGAATAGCCTGCTCTCTCTCGAACCTCCACACACTAGTGTTAATCGTGATGTTTCAGCATTCCTGTTGTCTCGCAATGAGGGGCGAGGGGCGTCAGCACCTACTCGCCGTGCACGCAGCCTGATTTTGTGTCCTGCCTCCAGCAGGATGCTGTGTACATGCCTGGTGTTAGGTGAAGAACCAGGTGCTCTGCGTCCGGCCCAGCAGCCCTCGTTATTGTGCTTCATTGCACTTGCCTCCTCACTAAATAGTGTTTCTTTCTTCCTCTCAGACCCCAGCGAGGGAGGCACTGTTCGCTCCATCCCACAGGTGAGAGCTACATAGAGTAAATGACACTCGTGTCCAGACTCACGAACACGTTGTGGAACCAAGATTCTGATTGAAGTCTGTCTGGTTGTAATGACCTGGCAGATAGATGGTTCTTAGAACCGGCTTGTGTTCTAAACATTTCTTTGTAGGCTCCACACATTTAAATTAATATGTTTTCTTGCAGGGCTGTTCTGTGTCTCGCCTCAGTTCTGTGTCTGCAGTACCCTAGGGGCTGGGCAACCTGGGAGGAGCTGGTGGAGAGTGCGGGCTGTGAGCAGGGGGCAGATGAACAGTGCTGCTTGCTGCGTGGGCCTCGTGGATTTCCAGACAGTGGCTGTGGCCCTGAGGGCCAGCATGGCAGCCTCCCGCGTTGAAGCTGGTGCTTGCTACTGTTTGTGCCCCTTGGCTGTATGAGTGGGTCAGCCCACACAGGAAGGGGAAAGAAAAGCCTGCTGTCCTCCCTCTGATGCTGAGGCAGGGACATGAGGTTCTGCAGATGTCAGGCATCTGTAAAGCTGCACAGAGGCCTGATAGGAACCTCAGCAGCCTTCATTCATTCACCCACTCATTAACCAGTATTTAATAAGAATCTTTACAAGGCATCTTACCTACAAATATGGCTGTTACGGACAGTGGGTGAGAACCCATGTAAAACATGTAGCATTGTGCTGGCACACGTGTTCAGTAAATACATCAGTCATTATTGGTATTACTCTCTTTATCCAAGTCTACTAAGTCTTAATTATACCATAATAACCATGAGGACAAGGACCAAAGTTACTGTTACTTTTTATATCTGTCACTATAGTAGCAGCTACCTCCCCTACAGCATCACTGGGCCTGGTTTATGTGGGGCAGAGGTGGCTGGCTCACACCCACTACTGAGTCACCCTTGGCAGCCACTTCCTGTTGCTTCCCTGGGTCACTGCACACTTAGGTCAGGTCCTACCTAGACCTCTGTGACAGCCCTGTGCTCTGGAAGTGGCTGCACCATGCCTGCCTGGCCTCATGCCTTCACTGCTCTTGGCTTCCCACACACCACAAACAGCGAGGCACACCAACAGATGTGACCACTCAATACTATTATTCCTTGGATTAATCCAAGGGAAAAGAAACCTTTCTCAGGAACACTGTTTCCCAGTTTGCTTCTTTCATGAACCTCTCTCCAGTGTCCCTAGGAGGGATTTCTGTCATTTGTGTATGTGTGGTGGGGGGCCCATGGAAGATGCAGGTGGTCCCCTCAGACTTTGTAATTACGAGGCTAATAAAGGACTACTTAACAGAGCAAGCAGGAGTGAAGGAAAGTAAAAGGGGCTGTGTCTTAGTTACTTTTCTCATTGCTTGCACTCAATACCCAATATGTCAAATTTAAAGGAGGAGGTTTCAGTTTGCAGAGGTTTCATGAAGTCCATAGTTGACAGGCTCCAAAAAAGGAAGGTATGGCAGACAGCAAGCAGAAAGCAAAAGAACGAGCCAGGAAAAAAGTCACCCTTCCAGGTCACATCCCAGTGAACACCCCCACCCCTGCCACGCACAGGGCTTCCCCTCCCACATCACATTTAGCTATAAATTCATCAGTGGTTCATTGCTGATGGACATCATGCGCCCATGATCCAACACCTCCCCAGATCCTCACTGGTGGTCACAGGCTTTGGGGGAGCACCTAGGGATAAAGCATAACAAGATGATAAGGCTGGCAGAAAGAGGAGGAGCCTGTTAAGAGGGAGGGAAAGGAGAGTTTCCAGAATGCAGAGGAACTCTGGCCTCCAGCACCATAGTATGACCAGTCACCCAAGGAAAACCAGAGGAGGAAGTGCCTGTCGCTGCTGTGTGAACTCCTGCAGTGCTTTGACACCCTTCCTCCCAGTCACCCCTTGGGAGTACAGAACAGGGTAGAGGAGAATGCAAAGTGGTTCTATAGGAGCAGGTGGAAGTTTGCTAACACAAATCCACTCTCAAATCTCCATCCCACCTTTTGGGAAAGGCAGCCCCTTCGCCAGGGACCACTGTGCTTCAGGGCACAGCCTCCAGTAGCATGCAACAGCCAGCAGCAGCCGTCCTCCCAAAGTCTGAGCTCTTGGGGTGCAGGGCCTCTGTCCTTGGCTTGCAAATGGAAATCCTCTTGTCTCTTCACGTCACTTTTCCTCCATATACATCTGTGTCCATACACATTTCCTTTCCTTCTTTTTTTTTGTTGTCTTTTTCCTTTTTATCAGTCCCTGGGATCGAACTCATGACTGCCTGCTTGCAAGGCAGGTGCCTATGCCGTTGAGCTAAATCCCGAGCCCCCACATTTCCTTTCTTATAAGGACACCTGTCATAGATTAGGTTCCAGTCTTAACCGGATGTGAGAATTTTGGAGGTTCACTACTCAGTCTGTAACACTACTGGAAAAAAATATATATTTATATAAAATATTTCCCCCTAAAAGAAACAACTCAGTACAGTTTATAGGTCCATACTACAACTTCATATTCTTCTGACCACAATAGGGCGCACCTAATGCCTAAAGAAAACCTTCTCACTGCCCTTATGATGTTCACTTTCTCTTAGGCTAGATGAATTTGGGGGCAGGGCCTCTAGCCCCTCCAGGGATTAATGAGTTTTCCCTGAGGAGTGGGATTATGGGTAACATTTGTTATCTTCATTCCTTTCTCAAATACTTACTGGACATCAGTACTGGGTTATCTGGGGCTTGGGAAGGTCAATAGGAACATGGCAGGCTCTCTTCTGCTGGAGCCTGGGGGATAATCAGTGTGCTAGAGTCATAGCAATAGCCCCAAATCCTGGTCCCAGGGTCACTGCTGGCCTCAGTCTGGCAGGGGTCTCTGTGAGCTGCACAGACTTCCTCTCCCCACTGTGCTTTGTTTTCTGCTGACCAGTGATGCTCCTATGGCTTGAACCACAAAGCATGCCGTGGGCAGTTTTTGTTGGGACTGAATGCCTTTGGTCCATTTTTACCACCTGTAAGCCTTAGTTCTAAGACTAAATCAAAATTTTGAGAGGGCTGTTGTTGGGGTTGAAAGGCTGAAGGCGTAAATTCATGAGGGAGGTCCCCAAAAGAAAAGAATCCCAAACAGACAGCATACAAGTCTTTTTATCCAGCTCTTACATATGTTATCACACATTTGCATTCCTACATACTGACTTAAATGTTTAGCACATGTCTAGTTGCCTGTGCGAAGTCATGTTTATGTAAGTGTATCCCACTGTGCACCTGTGCCAAACAGTGGGATCATGTCCGCAGGTGTCCTCAGACACCCTGAGCTTTGAGGCAGTCCTGAAGTGGCTCTACAGCTGTGTTCAGCCTTTGCAGCTGCTCTGCCCAGATGCACATGCTGAGCACCAGAAGGGCTGAGGCCTTCCCTCCTGTCCCAGTGTCCTTTTCCTTGCAGGCCTTAGCCAGTGAGGGGTAGGCTGGTGTAGGTCACTTGGTAAAATATGCTTTTATATTCAAAATCAAGTGAAGTGGCTGGAGAGTCGCTCAGTTGTAGTTAGTTCTTGCCTAGTATGTGTGAAGCTCTGGTTTCAATCCCCAGCAGCACAAAAACCTTTACAATAGTGAAAAGATTTAAGTTTGCACTTTGTAGACCTTGTGGCTTCTAAGAATCTGAAGGCCAAATCATCCTGACTTGCAGGCAAATTAGACAAAAGAACTATTTCAATGAGGGTTGTGGGTACAGTTTTGTTTAGTGGAGTGTTATAATTTGATACACAAAAAGCCTATAAAATGGCAACATATTGG